TCGAAGAGACATTGCTCAGGACAGTCCTACTGTGTGGGCTCATCTCTGAGCTCTCCTGTGGGGCAGGTGACAGACAAGCTGAGGGTGACCCTCCTTTCCTGGTCAGTTCCCTAGCCTGATGGGAGGGGCCTGTGCCAGGGGACAGACTGTCCAGTGGAGGAGGGTGCTGGAGGAGAGGCCTTTCCTAGGCAGGCTCTGAGAGGACAGAGAAAGAGGGCCTTTCTTGACTTCCCCAGACTCCTCCAAAGGGGCCCCTGCTCCCACCTCGCACTCGCTCCCACCCAGGTGTGAAGTGGGAGAGGTGGGGAGACCCGAGGCCCAGTGGCGCTCCGGGCCCTCCTCCCTGGGCATGGCCCCTCACCTGTGAAATGGGCACCACAACCCTTCCAAGGTTCAGTGAGCTCTGGGCTGGGCACGCAGCAGGCATTTGAAGGGGGCTGCTCCTATCTTTCAGCCACCGCTGCTGCTCCCGGGGTCTCTTTGCCTGCCTGTGAAGATACCCGTGAGGACCACAGGAGTCCAGCCCGAGGTCACCGTGCCTGTGTCTGAGGCAGCCTGCTGACAGGTGTGCAGCTGTAACCTGCAGCCACCCAGCACAGGACTAAGACCTCGAGAAGCACTCACCTCCAGCAAGAATAGGGGACTCCCTCCTCTTGGGTGGTCACCATAAAACAAGATGGGGCTTGTGAGGCGAGGCCGGCGGCCCTGACCATCAGCGCACAAAGTGCTGTGTGGTGTCCTGCCTGCCCGCCCCAGCAGGGCCCGGCTGTACCGGGGACTCCAGTGGCCCTGCTTGGGCCCAGAGCGGAGCCCACTCAGGTGGGGCAGCCCTGCATCGGGGGCCTGGAGGGGCAGGAGGGGCAGGCTCCCACCCCCTGTGGGGCTGCGGCAGTGTCCGCGGTTCACCACTTCACATTTATAGCTACAGTGCCTCTCAGTTTACTGTCCCTGCGGCGAGAGGCCTGGCTCTCTGGAAACCGCAGCCGTGGTTAGCTGGGTGCCTGCCTGAGTGCTGAGCTGTGAGGGCGGCCCAGCCCCCCTCAGGCCTGCCCTGCGCTCTTCCTAGAACCTGGCCAGAGCCTGGAAGGAGCTGCCAGGATGTCAGGGGTCCCCGGACAGCCCTCACTCAGTTGGCCCTCCATGAGGAGCAGGAACCTTGCCAGCGTGGGGTGCTCCCTCAGGCCCCAGTGGGACTCTGGGTCAAGGGAGCTGGTGGAGGGGATGGCGAGCCGTGACACCAGGGAAGGCGGCTCCCAGAACAGGGCTGGACTGCCTGGAGCCCGAGTCTTGCTGAGCACACGGGAAGCATCAGGCTGCTGCCCTCCATCCAGATTTCTCACCTGCTGGGTTTCACACAGGCCCGCTGCCGGAGTGGCTGCCCTGTGCTGTCCCTGCCGCATGGTGTGACGCTGGGCAGACGAGTGCAGCAGCCCTGTCTGTCTGGCCAGTGCGGGGGATGAGGCTGGGGGAGGTTAGGGAGGTACGGGGTTGTCTAAATGCCGGAGCCGGGACCAGGACCCTGAGCCTGACTCCAAAGCCCAGTTCTTTTCATTGTGCGCCACTCGGACCCCATGCTTTGAACTAGGGAGTGGGGTCTTGCTGGCTTGACAGAGGCCTAGGGGGCAGGGCCTGGCTCCTGCGCACCCAAGCCGTGCATCTGTCCTGCTCTGGTTCAGTCAAGGGGCCACCCAGTCACAGACAGACTCCCTGCCCTGCCCCTCCTCCACCCCACCCCACCTCATGGGCCCAGTGGTCCTGACTCTGGCCTGCTCCTGGGAACTCTAGGATTGGAAGGGCAGGTCAGAGAGGGAGGGAGGGAGTCTGGGATCAGGTACAAGACAGGCCTCTGGGGCGCCTGGAGGCTCACACCCTGCAATCGAAGGAAACCCCAGGAAGCAAACACAGGAGGGGATAAGGGCAGGTAGGGCCATGATTACCGGGTGGGGTGTGGAGGGGACCTGTGGGAGGGCAGGGCCCACCTTGGGGAGGTGAGGTGGCAGGACAGCTACCTAAAAATGGAGCTGAATTTCATATAAATAGAATACCTATTGGGTGTGTTCCTTTTTTAAAGCTAGGATTTATTTCAGTATTCCCTTCCTCAGCAAACATCCCTGGCATGCCAGTCCCTGGTGGTTTCAGCCTGGTGACATGGGCAGCAGGCCGGTTCAGGTCATGGTACTCCTAAGCTGGACCTCTGAAGCAAAGAGCAATTCAGTTCTACATTTACCGACCCCTGCTAGATGCCTGGTCTGTGCGGAGAGACGGGGTCACAGGGAAGGAGCAGGTTTGTCCCTGACCTTGAGGGTGTACAATCCTACAGACAGTATAGGAAGGGATGGGGTTAGCTCAGTCTGTGTGAATCAGGAAAGGATTCCCAGGATCTATTCTAAGCAGAGTTTTGAAGGACAAATAGCTTTTCAGACTCTCATTTTTTTCTTGCAACAAACAGTAAGCACCTACTATGTGCCAGGTATCAAACTCGTAAGAAAGAGATAGGACACAGGCCCTGCCCTGAGAAAACTAGTAGGAGAGTCATGTGAATCGTGACAACAATGTCTTAAATGTTAAAATAGAAGTGTGTGCAAGATGCATCAGAGGTCAGAGGAGGGAAACATTCGTTCTCTGTGGGGACAGGAGAGGAAGGGTCTGTGCAGGGAGCTGGCTGGCTGTTGTGGGCCCTGGCGGAGGCAAGGGGAGTGTGTGCAGCAGGAAACTGTGCTAAGAGACAGGTACTGGGGTTGGGCTTTCTTGGGCCCAAGTGTTCAGGGAGTTTCCCGGGGGCAGGGGACCACCAAGCAGCAGGCAGGAGCAGGACCGGTGGCTTCAGGCCAGTCGCCTGTGGATAAGCTGTGTGGTTTGGGGGCATCTGACAACCGGGTTCCAGCTCCCACTCCTTCCCCTATGAGCTGGGTGGCCTTGAGCCCCACACTTTACCTCTCTGAGCTCCATTCCTCATGCCTGAAGTGGAAATGATGAGAACACTAGTCACACCTACTTGGCAGGGGAGATGCGAGTAAATGAGAGGAGGCATGTGAAGGGCCTCCACAAGCCCAGGCCTGCAGTGCATCAGTAAGTGGGAGCTGTGCTATCCCCCTGCCGGGGCTACAGAGAGGCAGGACCGGCGTGGGGAGGCCGTACGGAGGAAGGGGCAGTGGTGCCCCAGGTCTGTGAGCAGGGACCCAGTCCCGCTCCTGCCCTGTCAGGTGCGTCTTCGTGAGGCTGAGAGGTGGTGTGGTGGACCCCAGGACAGGGAGGGGGCGCAGCCCACTGGAGGGTCTTATTGGCCAGGCCTAGTTAGTCACAGGGGCCGTCTGTGTAAGTCTGGCTCCTTTGGTTTCCTTTTTCTCCCCTTTTCTCAACTAGGCCCCTTTGGGCAATGCCAGCCTCACTGTGACAACTGTGCCCAAGAGCCAGGGCTTGGCCTATCTGACCCTGGGAACCTGGTCAGAGTGGTGGGGAGAGCAACATTCAGGAATCTTCCAGAGTGCAGAAGCTCTGAGATGGCCCTGACCAAGGGAGGCTGGCCTGTTGCAAGGATGGTGCTCCCCTCCGCTCTCGGGGCCCCTGGTTCAGGCCTGGGGGTCAGGCTGGGCAAAGCTGTAGTGTCCCAACTGCTCGCAAGCATCAGTGGTCTTTGAGAAAGCCCAGCGCTGACCTGGCTTTCATGCAGGCTGCCCTGCGAGGGGCTCCAACAAGGCGGGCCTTGTGAAAGGCCCGTTACCTGCCAGTGCTGGGCATCCAAAATAGAATCTTGAGGAGCAGCAAAGCCTTTAATTCAATGTGTCCCAACAGCAGGTCGGTGTGGGGATAACTATGATCTGGCTGGTCTTGAGCTATAATTACGGAGTCAGAATAAAAAATTACAGGCATTGTGTGGGCTGGTTTTAAATATAACGTAATCCATACCGTCCTCTCTCTTATTTGCTACATTTGAGGTGGAGTCTTTGGCAGTTGGCACAGGTTTGGCCTGACGCGTAGCAGATAAAAATGGCCCTTGCCCAGTGAAAAGGGCACCGCAGTAGGCCTCCCCAGACCCCTAATGTTCCCGACTGCCTGGGCCCGTAGCCCAAAACCACATGCGCGCATGCTTCGTTCCCATTATCTGTACGTCGCATCTCCCCAGAACCTCCCTGTCTCCAGCCTCCTCCAGACAGTCCACCAGAAACATCTCTGTAGAACAAGTCTTGATGCTGAAGAACCCATTAATGGTGCCCCTCTGTCTACAGGGTAAATCCGAACTCTGAGTTTCTTTACGTCTAGGCCCCAAACCACCGTTCAGCACTCTCTGGGAAGAGCAGCTGTAGAAGAGAGGTGAAGTACAAGGGCCTTGGGTCTCACCCGGGGACCACACTCAGGCTCCCGTCTCAGGAGCTGAGTGCGAGTCTGGGCGGGTCCCTTCATCCCCGTGCGTTAGGGCCTCCACCACTGTTGCAGGTTCTTGTGAGGATGGAATGAGACAACACCCTCCTGGAGAGACCCCAGGTGGGTTCCTTTTCCTCACCAAGTCTCAATTTATCTATTAAAACAAAGGAATAGAATTATTGGCTTTCAAATCAGTAAATATTTTTTAAAATGAAATTTCTTGGTGTAGTTTGTGGTGAGGTGGGCATGCATTAGGTCAGGCCTTTTGGAAAGCAAAACAGAAAGAGATATACAAAGTCTTAAAACATATTTATACTCTATGAGTAGGAATCTAACCTAAGGGAAAAACCAAATTGTGGACAAAGATTTTTTATATTTAAAAGATGTTCACTTTGGTGTGTTTTCATATTCTTGAAAAACTGGAAACAAAGTATTTACTGTGTGTCCACTCAAAACACTCTTGTGCAGTGTTGAAAAAGAATATTTCATTACGTTGAAAATGCTTATAATCTAACAAAGTGAATAAAGCAGATACAAAATGATATATACTGTATGATCTCAGTGATGATAAAAATACGTACGACCATAGGAAAAAAGGTGAGACGGAAATAAAACAGCAGCTATCTTTGGTAAATTTATAGGGCTGCATTTTCTTCTTTATTGTTTTCTGTACTTCCCAAATATTTTAGAATGGGCATGTGTTACTTGTCTAATAATATTTTTTAAAAGAGCTGAGTGTTAAAAATGTTAAATAAAATGAGAGGGTGGAACTTGATGTCTGAGCTCCTGTCTGACTTTTAACGCTCTCTGACTTCTATGCGCTGAGACCATCCCCGGGTCTGAGAGGTGACTGCAGAAACCCAAGCTCTCTGTCCCGCCCGTCTCAGCATCAAGCAGCAACAGGTCCAGTGCCTGGAGTCAGCAATCCGCCAACCACAGGTTCACCAAGTGCATCTGCACAGACTCCCCTTGAGCTGCCTTCCGAAAGCCTTTCTGAAATCTTCCCAAGTGCCCGAGCACCCTCAGTGCCCCTGAAGTGGGCAGTGCCCCAGCCCCGCTCTGTCGGAGCGCTGGGGGCCCCCCACCCATCTGGTGCTGAGTTTTCCACCTGAGAGGTGAGCTCTTTCTGACACTTCAGGCAGGGGCTCGTTGGAGCAGGAAGACAGGCCTCTGGGTTGTCACCACTGTGGGCCTTGCTGCTGTCCACACATCTGGATGTGGGGACCCCACTCACTGGCTCTGTCAGACCACACGTCCCCAAATGCAAGGACATGCAGGCCCATCTAGTGGGTTGCCCTGAGGGTGGAGAGCCTGGAACGCTTCATTGGAGGGGGTCACTGAGGGACAGCCTGGTCACTCCCAGCCATTTTGCAGGAGGTCAGCCCAGATGAGGCCACCTGCAGAGATGAAAGGGTTCTTGATGAGTCCCTGGTAGAAGGAAGGGCCCTATCTGAGTCCAGCAGGGAGGGAGGCCTTACAGGCCAATGGCCCAAGCGTCCGGTTTACCTGGCAGCTTGTCAGGGCTTGCCCAGGGCCTCCATGAACCAGCCATGTGCCTGCCCACTTAGAAACCAGAGAAAGACAGGATTTAGAAGCTGAGAGACTGAGACAGACAGACAGGATTAGAGAGAGAGTGCAAGGACGACACACAGTCAGCGAGGGGCGGACAAGTGGAGAGAGACAGACCCAGAGACAGTGCCTGAGAGGCGGCAGGGGGACCATCACCAAGAGGGGACTACAAAGAGTGGACCAGCACCTAGAACACGCTCATCCTCGCTGTAACAGGGAGAGGCACCGTGGAGCGCCTGACGTGCCATTTTACACCTACTAAATTAGCACACATTAACAAAATAACATCCCGTGCTGTGGAGGCTGTGCGCAAACCAGCTTAAACACACTGCCAGGGCCCTGTAAATTAGCACTGCCTTCTAGGGAAGAAATTGGGCAACACAGCTCCAGAGCTATTAAAGTGTTCATCCCTGTTTATGTGGTAATTCCACTACTGGGAATGTGTTGCAAGGAAATAATTCAACAAAAAAAATAACAGGTTTGTACATAAAACATGATGAGTCCAGTGCTATCCATTATGTCCAATATGCTGTAGTACGGCCGCTGTGAATATTTTTAAAAATAGGAAATATGAAGACTATATAATAACACTTAAGGATCCTTATGATATGAGCAAATAAGCAGAAAATAAAACCATCTGTAAGTGAAAGTTAATAATTACATAAAAGAGCCACCTGGATGCTCGGCCGGCCCCACCCCTGCTAGTGAAAGGTGGTCCTTGACTCCTGGGCTGGCCAGACAGACACTCCTGTCTTCCCAAGGGGCCTTCCCTGCGGCTCCCTGTCTGGAGCTCTCTAACCATGAAGCCTAATCCACAGACCTCAGACTGCTGGGGAGACAGTCTCAGCTAAGCCTGCCCACCTCACCACTCACTCTGGTGGCCCCAGGGAGTCTGGGTGATGCCTGCTGAGTCACTCCAATGTCACACCTCAGAGAGCCCAACCAAAGCAGATATGGTGGGGTTGGGTCCTCATTTAAGAAAAGGGATAAAGTGATTTTGCAGGCTCTGAAGCGTCCTGCTATTTGCAAGCACAGCAGTCGGTTTAAGCTAGCTGAAATCTGGACTCCCAGCTGGACCATCATGGGGTGAAGGCAATTTATAACAGACTGACGGCAAAGGAAGGAGGAATTGTGGGGTTGGCCCTCCTGGCCTGCCCCTGCAGCAGGCACAGACCTGATTCTGAACTTGAATCGTCCCCTGGCTCCCAGTGGCCGCCACAGAATCTGGCAAGGAGAGGGAACAGTAAATTGCGTGTGAATGAAGAGGAGAAGGGGAAAAGACCACAGAGTATACGAACGAGCCTATGTCACCAAACAATTGTCTCTATTCAAAGCCTGTCTGGCTTTCCAAACGGGCCCTGAATCATGCCCTGGAGAAGCTACGCCCCTCGTGCCTGCCCTGCCTACTGCCAGGGAGGCCCTGCCTTACAGGGGCCGAGAACAGTCAGTGACCAGGCCTGTGTCCTTGTTCATTGGGTCCATGCAGATTCTGAGCACAAAGAGGCTTTATGACAGTCCCTGCCCTTGATGTGCTTTCGGTCTCATGGTAGACAGGAGCAAACAACGAAGGATAATTCGAGGAGCAATCACATGGGGCTGTACAGAGAGGGAGCAGTGGTGGGGAGTGAGACACCCACAAGTAGGCTCAGGGGTGGAGGGCGATGTGTGGAGGACTGGCCAAGGCTCCCCGGGGAGGTGGGAATGGAGCACGGCCCCGAGGACAGGCAGGATTTCACCTGGCAGCAGGAATACTGGAGGGTCAGGGTGAGACTGAGAGTCCACCGAGGCCTCCCCCAGCTCCCCACCCGGGAGCCTGCCAAGGACCTTGGCTCAGTGCCAGCCAATCCTGCCCAGAGCAATGCAGAGAGCACAGTGGCAATTTCAGTCTGTCCACAATGCTGAGGGCCCTGAAATTCATCTTGCCCTCTCATCCATTCATTCGTTTGTTCATCCCTCACATACTGCACACCTGCTCTGTGCTAGGTACTATTAAAGGCTTTTGGGGATAGAGCGACAAACAAGTCAAGGTCCTTGCCCCTCCAGTGTGGAACGCAGACAATAAACAAGTGAATAAATGCACACTGTGATAAGTGCTACGGACAAACACAAAATAAGGGTTAGAGGATAAGGGTGATGAAGGTAGGGGAGGTGGAGGGGATATTTAATCAATAAAATCAGCATTTCATTTGACACCTAAATGATGTGAAGAGGCAACTCATTAAAAAATGTGGGGAAGAGCATTCCAGGCAGTGTATCTGGCAAGTTCAAAGGCCCTGAGGCAGGAATAAACTTGACATATTTAAGGATTAGTATGAAGGCCAGCAAGGTGGAAAAGAAGCTGGGGGGATGGGAGGCAGTGGCAGGAGATGAGATCAGAGAAGCAGTACGAAGCTGGGCCTGGTCATGATGCTGGCTCCCGGGCTCCAGGGAATTACGGCATCTCTTACATCTCACCCAGGCTCCTGCCTTGAGTTAAAGGTCTCAGGACTGGATCCAGGCCCTGGACACTAACGTGCTTGACTGGGGGCTGGTACACGCCACACCCTCATCCAGAAGTGCCTGCTGGGTCAGACAAGGACAATGGACAAGCCACACCTGGTGTTCCAGCCTCACCGAACACCAGACCCTGCAGCTTCTTTGGCTTCACCAACTCCCATTCTGAGGCTCTCCTCCTCCTGTTCCTCCAGGGAGTGGTGTGGCAGTCCCAGCATAACTTGAAACCAGGCCACGGAAAGTGTGTTCTTCAGGAGTGAGCGCAAGCAGGGCATAGCTGGAGCACAGAGTGCCTAGAGAGATCTGGTGGTGGACGACGCTGGAGACTGACGGCAAGGCTAGGCATGGTGTAGGGATGTGCAGAAGCACTGACAGCGTTTGAGGAAGAGGAAGAGTGAAATGTGTTTTAGAGACCTAATTCTGGTAGCATTTCAGAGATGGATCAGAAGAGAGGAAAGGAGACCAGGCCTTTAAAGAGATGACAGGACTCTGAACTAGGGCAATGGCCATGGGCTGATTTCAAGAGACAGAGCAGATAGATCCCCTGGACTGATTTCCATGGGGGCTGGTAATTGTGAGACAGAAGTCAAAGATAATGGAGATTTCTACCAGCAACAGGGCAGACAGCGTTATTCATGGAGGAAATGCAGGCGGAGGTGTGTGGGAAGAGGGCCAAAGTTATGGTGGGGAGTCGGCGACAGGAGGCAGATGGGCCAGTTTTGGACACTTTGAACAGAAGATGAATCTAGGCCATCAAGGACAAGATGCAGGTCATGAAGGTCTGGTGCTGAGGAGAGAGGTCCGGGTGGGAGGGACATTAGCCCTCAGGTAACAGCTGGTGCTGTGAGTGCGGGGGTAGGGGGTGCAAAGCGAGAAAAGAAGGCTGAGGAAAGGACTCTGGGGACCACTGACACTGTGGGGTTTGGGATGGGGGGAGAGGACATAGTGAAAGGAGATGGGGCCAGACTAGACTCAGGGAAACCAATGGAGAAAATTCCGAGAAGGAGGGGATGGTTCCCAGTGTCAAATGTTACAGAGGGACAGGGAGGATGGGGACAGAGAAGAGCCCACTGGTGTGACAGCAGGAACCACAGGAAAAGACTTTGAAAAGGAGATTGGCGTGGCGAGGCTGCAAGGGTAGGGAAAGCCTATAGGATGGGCAAGTTTGAACCGTGAGTACAGAGAGCTCTTTGAAAGTCTGGGAGAGAACAAAATAAGATGAACTATGGCTTATGGGTGGGGGGAAGAGTGAGTCCAGCTTGGGAACAGGAGAGATGAAACATTTTTGTTGACTCAGGCACGGGAGCAGGAGGAGGAGAGGTGCCCCATGGTCCTCCAACTTTTTCTTCCCCCTGCCACCCTCAGACCTCAGGCTTCATGGGACCTTCCAGGCCCTCCTGTCCAACAGGCATCTCTACCCAGGTGGCTGTCTAGCCCCCCATCTGTGCTTAGGGAGACAGTGCTTACCACGTGTGCCAGGCAGCCCAGTCCATCAAGGGACTGGCTCAATGGTTAGAAAAGTTGTCCTTGGAGATCTGACACAGATGTGGCACAGCGCTGGGATTTCAATGGGGCTGGGCTTTTTATGTTTGTCTGTAGATCTTATAATGAATACATTTAAAAAATTCTTCCTTCTTTTGAGCCCAGATGCATCTCCTTGTAGCTTTTCACCTTTGATTTCTAGCTCTGCTCTGGAGGCTTCCTCTTCCTTCAAATAGTAGCAGAGCTGCTCACCTTGTCTTCCTTCCTCAGGCTTGAATGTCCCCTGCTCCTCAGATGGCCTCTAGGATTTCTCCTGAACATGATACTGAACCTCTTAATCTCAAGTTCCTGTGTCTGATGTGCAGGAAGCCAATCACTGAGACACTGGTGCTTGGCAATGGAGAAAGGTTTATTCGAAGTGGCCAAAATGAGAAGATGGGAGGATAGGTTCTTTCAAATCCACCTTAACAAGAAGAGAGCAGAGAGTTTTATAGAGCTAAGTGTCTTGGCAGGAGGAGTTTCAGAGAAACGTGTTTCTTTCACTCCTGATAAGCCCCTGGGCAATCTGACTTCTGGGCACATGATCCTTGAGCATTTTCTTTCTTCTCTAAAACAAGCTCATAAATTCTTGTGACCCTTGAGTCACCCTTACTTTAAATAAAAGAGCAAACTGACAAGATTAACTTTTTTCATAACAAGGTCGAAAGGTAATCTTATTGGATATTTACAGTAACCCTCAGGTACGTAGCTTCAATTACACTGTGCCCCTCACTATCCTCTGAAATAGACACAACACAGAGGGGAACAGATATCTACTCCCCTTGTGCCAGCAGAAGCCAGGGGTTACAAGCACAAGCTCTGGAGCCAGCCTGGGTTTGCATCTTGGCTCCGCTCCTGCCAGCTGGTGACCCTGGGTGAGACACTTCACCTCTCTATGCGCCTGCGTCCTGCCCAACATCATTCAGGGGTGAGGAATGCATAAGCTGGCACATCTAGGGGCTTCCAACAGTGCCTGGGGGACGGCGAGTGCTCCATGTGCGCTCACTGCTCTTAGATGTCAAAGCTCTTTCAGAAGGGCACGTGAAACCCGAGAGCTCTCCCTACATCAACGTGGGCGTGTCACATGAAGATGCTTTGATTTTCCGGATGAACGTGGCGAGGGCCCAATCCTGAATCACAGGACCTTGGTCTGAGAAAAACTAGACATCTGGAAGCATCCCCAGGGTGTTTGGAAAGTTCAGAGACAAGAATCCAGTCTGGGGACAGAGAACGGGAAGGGGCGGCCGCAATGCCACCTGACAGTGCCTCTCTGCAGGGAGGAGCAGGGTGCTGTGGAGCTCTGGGTCTCTCTCAGAAGCAGTCACTCCTGAAGGCAAAGGAGCTGGACTTTCTGTTAACAACTGTCACCTCAGGCCTCTGTCCTCTGTCCTGCTGGGCACTCCCCTGAGGTTCTGCTCCTCTGAGGATCAGCCTTTGCTGCTGTGTGGTGACTGCCTGACATCTGCTGTCCACTGTCTGTCATGGCACCAACTTAAAGATGGTCACGGACTCAGAGGGAACATTATGGTGGGAAGAGACCTCAGATAGGCCCTTTTCTCCGACTTTTTTGACAGTGACTCCCAATATTAACATATTTTACACTAACAGTACACAAACGTTTCACAAACCAAATCCTACCTTTACTATGTGTGAACGCTCTGATATATTCTATATTTTTCTATTTTCATTTCATTAATAAGAAAAATGCTGATTACAATCCACTAAATTGATGTCACAGCCCCAGGTTTTCTCCTGGAGTTCACAACACACTCACTATGGACTAAATCCATGCCCTAGTTCAGTCGGTGTGCACATAGCACCTTCAAACCTTCGGCCACACGCAAGGCCAAGTATGTATGCAATTAGATTATTCTTTTCTAAATCAACTCACTTAAACATTTTTAAGTGCCCACTACAGCCTAAGTAAAATATTGACGAAATAAGTTGAAGGGCTAGTTGTATTTTTTCCCAATACCCACTGAAACAAATGTTTTACTATCAGGGTAAAAAATGTTTCCACACCTCCTACAATCATCTTGCACACCAGCACTGTCCGCATTCCTCACTTTGGGAGCCGCAGATCGAGAGATTACTCCAAACACCTCATGTCACAGCGGGCAGCGAGGCGCAGGGAGCTGAATTCACTTATCTGAGGTCTAGTGCTCAGTCAGCGGGAAGAAACGTGCTGTCTGGTCACAGGACAGGAAAAAGAAAACCAAAGAAACTCACCTCCAGGTTGCCTCTGACCAAATGCTGTGCTAAATGTTATCAGTCTTAGCGCTTTTGGAGAGAGGCGCTCTATCATCTCACCAGAGCCCAGACATCAGTTTATAGTTACCTTAGTAGAGCCATTTTAAGAGTTTCCTAGGTCTTAGACATCCTTATTTTTGGAGGTCCTGATCTATATCATATCATGCATATTACAATTTGTCCACGTTGGCACTTATTAATTTCAATTTTGTTGTTTTCTTTTTATACTTTGAAGCCAATGAATTTATTTTTTTTAGTGAGGAAGATTGGCCCTGAGCTAACTAACATCTATTGCCAATCTTCCTCTCTTTGCTTGAAGAAGATTGGCCTGGCACTAACATCTCTGCCAATCTTCCTCTATTTTGTATGTGTGATGCCACCACAGTACGGCTTAATGAGTGGTGTGTGGGTCCATGTCCAGGATCTGAACCTGCGAACCCTGGGCCACCAAAGTGGAGGGTGTGAACTTAACCACTACACCACCAGGCGGGCCCAAGCCAATGAATTTTTAATGCCTCAACCCTTTTTTTGGCCCTGACAAAGTTCATGGCCCCTAGGGTTATAGCCCATCATGCCTAATGGATGAAGCGGCCCTGGATCTTGGTAAACAAATTTGATCAAAGAAGACACACAAAAGAGCAACTTAATTACATAAGCCCTGTCTCCTGGCATCTTTGAAGGGGAATGTGGACAGGTCACTGATAACTAAATGCATGAGTTTCCAGTGGCGAAATCTTTGCTCTTCTGGCAGACTGGTGTGGGCAGAGCCATTGCAGGTGGGCCAAATGCTGTGTGACTGGCAAGGTGCTCTCTCTCTGGGCCTCGTTTTCCTCATTCAGTAAAAGAAAGGGATTAGACTAGATTGCTAATTTTCAAAGATTTTATTTTAGTATCAGGACCCTTTTGCAAATGAAGTCTCATTAGCAGGGAGAACGCAGACCTGCCCTGGGAGGGCGAAGCTCTGAGCAGCCCTGAGTCTAACAGACACGCATGCGAGTGTGTGACGGCCTCTAGGGGAGCCTCCCCAGTGTATGCAAAGACGGGGGCTTCCCACAGACCAGCACAGGTCCAGAGACCCCGGGACCCCGAGGCCTCAGCTCCAAAGAACAGCACAGTGTTTCTCAAACCTCTTTGACAGTGGTGAAAGGCAGGCAAAAAATAACATTTACGTCAAGATATAGTACATATGTACCGAAACACACAGTTTCATGAAACACACCTTCATACTGTAAAAGAAAAACATTGTACCATACTTGGGCTGGGTCAGGGACATTTTGGGAATATAATCCACAAATCTCATCTTGAGAATCAATAATATTTCTGATAAAATGCTTAAGCAATTTTCAGGAATTTCAGTGGGACTAAGACCTCTTCTGAGCAGCCGTCCTACGCACTCCGCTAACGTTAACCTCTGGAGGGATCCAGCAGCCTTTAAGCGTCTTTCAACAAATTTAATAATCCTTAACCAAAACTTTTTTCTTGTATCCAGTCTAACACTGATTATCTAATCATCTCTTTTCCTATGAAATGTCCTTACCAATAGGTACTTGTTGAATTGGCCAGGTAGAATTGCCACAAGATTGTAATAACTTTGACACCGGGTTATAACTAAATTGGGCTTTTCTTTCCTCATCTTCCCTCCCCCTCCCCCTCTCCTCTTTCCTTCCTTCCTTTTCTTTTTCTTTCTTTCTTTTCTTCCTTAACAGTGTGATACAATCTGATACTTTTTGTTCTATTCTATTCCATTAAAACAATGCTGATTGTGACCCACTAAACGGATTTCACCAGACTGTAATGGTTTCGACCAGGAGCTTAAAAACCATTGGGATAGCACTCCCAGTGGGTCCGCCTATTAAGACAAAATCACATTGCTGCTATTACGAAATGAAAACAAAGAAGAAAACCAGGTAAGATAAAGGTCACAGAGTGCTTACCTTCCCTGAGTACCTGGCACCTGGTAGGAGTTGAGTAACTGTCTTTTGAAACTGGAAAAAGTAATTAGAGCTGAAACTCAGATCTCTGAGGAGTGCTAGCCGGCTGCTACTGGTGTTCTGAAGCGGGGTGCAATAAAGCTAGTTCTTCAAACACCAGAAAATTGCAAAGTAGATTCAGCAGCTGCTAAGAGAAGGCGCTGCTGCTGTCAGGGTGAAGTGTTCCCGGTGCGATGCTCATAGGAACCACAAGGAGGCAGGGAGCCCAAGAAAACAGGCAGGGAGAGGCGCCCCGTCATCTAGCCTCGAAGGCCCCCTCTAGTGCCCCTTATTGGCAGAGTGCAACATGGGGCCAGTTGGCAAAGTGGAAACGTGGTCTGTGGAGTCAGCCTCAGCCACAAAGTGGAACACAGAAGGGGGATTTGGAGTCAAGGGATAAAAAATATAACTGCCACAGCCCATCGTGTTGGCTAACGAACTTCCATACCAAAAGAAAAAAAGTGGTTTCCATCTAACACAATGCAACTATTCTTCATAGAAAGAAAGATGCTATTACCCCCTCCCCTGAAAAAGAACACAAGGTCCCAAAAGTCATTGTATCCCTCACTGGAAGACAGTTACACTGTCCACCTCTGGGTGTGATAGTTACTCCATAGGTTCAGTCACAGTCCCATCTGAATATTCTGCTACCTATGACTGAACTGTAAAGTTAATCTCCAACAAAACATATTATTATTATTTTTTTTCCTTTTTCTCACCAAAGCCCCCCGGTACATAGTTGTATATTCTTTGTTGTGGGTCCTTCTAGTTGTGGCATATGGGACGCCGCCTCAGCGTGGTTTGATGAGCAGTGCCATGTCCGCGCCCAGGATTCGAACCAACAAAACACTGGGCCGCCTGCAGCGGAGCGAGCGAACTTAACCACTCGGCCACGGGGCCAGCCCCGCCAACAAAACATATTAAATAATGAGGCGCCTTCCTGACAGGGTGAAGTAACAGGGATAGGCTTTACCCTTCTGTCTGAGATAACTAAAAACACAGACAAAGGTGAGCCTTACAACTGCCCCAGCTTACTGTCTGGACAAAGCTTGAGGCTGCAGTAGGAAGGAAGAGGCCTCGCAGAGTCCAGCAGTCTCCCCGAGCTGAGAAAACAGAGCTCGGAGTCTGGAGAGTTTAAGCCCGCTGTAATTTACAGGGCAGTGTATGGAAAATAAGAGAACGGCACAGAGACAACTGGAGGCAGCAGAGGTTCCCCTGAGTTCTGAGCTGAGTACTGATCATCGCATGCACATGAGGGCAGGAAAAGAAACACCTGGAAGGAGAGGGCATCGACCCCAAAGCTCAGAGAGCTGAGAACTGGGCCTATTTCCACCGGCCAGGGTGGGAAACCTCGTCACTGAGAGGATGCCCAGAACGTTTTGCCTCAGCAATGGGAAAAAAATCAGCCCTTGATTTAACACTACTCTGGACCCACTGAACAAAGATTAAAAGCAAGACTTGAAAAGGATAAAATTGTTTCCAAGAAGCTTAATGGAGTTCTAGAACAAAGCTCAAAAATATTTAAAAGAATAGAAAAATATCCAACACTCAACAAGGTAAAATTCAGAAGGTCTGGCATGTAAACAAAAATTACCAGAAATGCAAAGAAGCAGGAAAATACAACCCATAACAAGAAAAGAACATCAATCAACGGAAACCTACTCAGAAATAACACAGAAGATACAATTAGTAGACAAAAGCATTAAAATAGTTATTATAACTACGTTGCACATGTTCAAGAAACCAGAGAAAAGGTTGGACATGTTAGGCAGATATAAAAAAGAATATATGGAAGAATTTCTTTATATATGGAACATGTGAAAAAGACCTAAATTAAACTACTAGAGATGAGTGAGATTAAAAAACACACTGGATGGTATTTATGACAGATTAAACATTGCAGATAAAAAGATAAGTGAACTTGAAGACGTAGTAATAGAAACTATCCAGTGAAATACAGAGAAAAAAGACTAAAAAAAAAAAAAAATCAGTGAGCTGTGGGGCAGCATCAAGTGAGTGGTCTAACACATTTAACCGGAATCCATGACGACAGCGTAGCAGAAAAAACACATCAAGGAATAAGAGCCAAAAATTTTCCAAACTTGATCAAAACTATAAAACCAGAGATCTGAAAACCACAATGAACCCCAGGTACAAGAAATATGAAGAAAACTAGACAAAGGCACATCATAATCTAACTGCTTAAAACTAATGATAAAAAGAAGATATTGAAGTCACAGAGATGCCTTTGTACAGAAGAGCAAAGATTAGCACAGAGTAGATTTCTTGTTGGAAATAACGCAAGTCAGAAGGCAGTGAAATAACACTTTTAAAGTACTAGACAAAAAAGAAAATAAGAATTCTTTACCTAGAAAAAATATATTTCAAAGATGGGGGCAAAATCAAGACTTTATTGGACATACAAAAACTGAAAGAATTCATCACGAGCAAACCTGCGCTGGAAAAAATGATTGAGAAAGTCCTTTAAGTAGAAGGAAAATGTTACCAGATGGAAATCTGGATCTACACAAAGCAATGAAGAGCACCAAAAGTGCTAATTATGTGAGTAACTATAAAGAGCTTTCAAAAGACATTCAAATTTCTTTAAAAGATGATCAACTGTTTAAAGCTAATATGCCAACAATGTAATGTGGGGTTTATAACATATGTATAAATAAAATGTATAACAATAATAGCAAAAAGGCCAGGAAAAATGAAAGCATACTCTTGTAATGTTCTTATACTACACTGTCAAGTAGTATAATATCAGGTGAAGGTAGAATACGATAAGTTAAAAATAAGCCCTAATGAAACCACTAAAATAAAACATAGTAAATAAGCTAACAAAGGAGATAAAATGGAATAATTAAAAATACTAAATTAATCTAAAAGAAAAAAGGAAGAAAAGAGAACAAAGACCAGAGGCAACAAATAGAAAACAAACAGCTAGATGGTAGATTTAAATCCAACCATATCAATAATTATAGAAAATATAAATTGCCTACACATCCCAATTAAAAGTCAGAAATTATTAGGCGGATTAAAAAAAAATAAGATCCAACTATATAATACTCATAACAAATCCACTTTAAATATGAAGATAGGGGCCGGCCCCGTGGCCGAGTGGTTAAGTTCGCGCGCCCCACTGTGGCGGCCCAAGGTTTCGCCGGTTCGGATCCTGGGCGCGGACATGGCACCGCTCATCAGGCCATGATGAGGCAGCATGCCACATGCCACAACTGGAGGGACCCACAACTAAAATACACAGCTGTGTGTCGGGGGGCTTTGGGGAGAAAAAGAAAAAATAAAATCTTTAAAAAAACCCAAACAAACATGAAGACACAAATAGGTTGAAAGTATAAGGGTGCAAAAGGATGCACCATCCTAACAATAACCAAAAGAAAGCTGGAGCAGTTATATTAATATCAAATAGGATTTCAGAGCAAATAATACCACCAGGGATAAAGAAGGTCATTTCACAGCGATAAAGGGGCCAATTTATCAAAAAGACATGATGAGGCTAAATGTCTATGCACCTAATAACGAGCTTCCACAGTAACAATGTGTTTTCCGAGTCTCAGAAATGAGAGTGCTCTGTAGGATTCCACACAAATGTTACTTTTGTCTTTCTTCCTTTTCTATTTTCAGTATTATCCACTATGCTCACCGTAAATTAAACTTAAGGACACTATACCCACCTTTATTTGGCTATCAAAAGAAACCATCCTGGGAGGCAGTGAATAGTGATTGCAAGAACCTTCGCTCCTGGTCAAATTACTTTCGGCTTCTACGGACTTCAGTTTTTCCATGTGTACCATGAAGATCAACTGTTTTGGAAAAAAAAGTTTTTAAATAGTGAACTCTTTCTCCAGCCTAACAGCATGTGGAACCCATAAAAGATGAGGAACCCCCTGGAGTCTGGGTCAAGTACCCGGGGCTTGGTACTCGTACTAGCCATTTTTGGATGGGAGCAACAGCAAGAATGAAAGAACTGGAATCCTGGGAGATCCAGAAGAGGACTTGAGCCACGTGACTCGCTGGTTGGGCTCTTGATTCTTGCCGTGGCTTGCGTAATCTGGAGAAAGAGTATCCTATTAACAGCATTCTTTCATTTCAAGTGTTTTCAACATGACTGACAGCAAATATACATGCTGGATTTTCTAAGCTGCTCTCAGCTTATACATAAGTGAATGGATTGTGAGGAGAATGACAGGTGCTGACTTGTACTTATTTAGTTTTTCAAACTAACCTGATTGGCAACAACTGAAGGCAAGTCACAGCTAGTACTGAGCTCAATAAATCCAAGGGCTTCGTAGATGGAGCCACTGAAGGCTTTCTTGGCCGGAAATGGAGGGTCAGCATGGCTCTTAGCTCTTTATTGGACACATATTGGGCCAAGCATTCTGTACCATGTCGCAGATACAAAAGCACCCATGCTCCTTTGGAGCTTCCAAGAGTGGACAATGTGGGGAGGATGATGACACACAGCATGGGTAGCACACTCTTATAATATGCAGCAGGTACATTAAAAATTATGACATATGTTTCTTCAACATACAGGGTCATTTTAAAGTTGTGGAATCTGACGTATAAAACAGTATATATGACAAATATCTTGTTGCATCCTTTTTCTTCATGTCTCTTGTCTTTTTGGACACTTTCTTGCTCTTTGGATTTTAGCTTTGGAACATGGATAAAGAAAATTGGAAGAAACCTAGGTAAAACCCTTCTTATTAAACACGTATAACAAAAGGAAAGAAGCTACCAGAATCTTCTATCTTTCCAAGAGACCCAATCATCTAGTAACCAAGTCTTTGGCTTTTTCACAATAACCTTCCAACCAGTCCTGTGGGTACTACTGAGAAGGGGGACAGAAGCAGTTAATGCAGAAAGGTCTGGAAGGACATGTACCAGGTTGCTGACATTAATTATTTCCAGAGGATGGAAATGGAAAGGAATGATGACAAACTACTCAATTTTTCTTTACACATCCTTGAATTTCATTTGTTACATTAAGCACATACCATTTTTGTAATAAAAAACATTAATAAGGAACGTTGTTAAAGAAAAGTAACTACTTTGTTCATTAAAAAAAAAACGGATTAAGAGTGTATGTAATGCACACGGTCTGTCACCTTAAAAAAAAATCAGTGAGTTCACCAAAGACTAAAGTTCCAAAGTCTGATTATTAGTTTATAGGAGCAGTTTTCTGAGGCAGAAGCATTCGGGTACCCTCTGGGGCTGTGTAACATTCCCCCGGCCTGCGCCCCTATTCTACTGGGTGGCCCAGCGCATGGGGCTGTAAGTAAATGAAGGAACTCGGGGAATGTCTCAGCACAGTGCTGGCAAGAGCGAGTACTCTACCCCACAGTGAGTCGCTCAGAATCAAGGTCGTTCACACCTGATCCATGGACAGCCTTTTCTCTTGGGACAAATATCACATAAGTTATTGAAAGCAGGAACGTAAGGTCTCCTCAAAAAGCAACCGAGCTCCTGCCCTGACATTTGACAGAGGTCACTACCTCTAACCCTCTCCCATAGCAAATCCTGCCACAAAGTGGGGTGCTTCCCCCAACGGACCACACTCTAACTTTCTAAGCTGCTAGAATCTTCAGGGTTTTTCAACCTTGATACTATTGACGTTTTGGGCCAAGTGCTTCTTTGTTGTTGGAGGTGGGGTGTGGGGATGGCCTGTGCATTGAAGGATGTTTACTGGCACCCCTGGCCTCTACTCATTAGATGCCAGTAGTATCCAACCCTCACAGTCGTGACAAAAACATCTCCAGACATTGCCCAGTGTTACCTGTGGGGCAAAACTGCCCCTAGTTGAGAACCACTCTTTCAGATAATTCAGTAGTTCTTCAGCCATCTCATGAAAGTCTGGGACTAGGGCCACACATTAATATTCATGCACACCCCCCCCCAGAAAACCCTGAAAAAACATGAACTTTTGAACCTTTGTTTCAAGACCTTTTTCCTAGGAGCAGTGTAATGTTGCCTGTGAAAGTCATGTTTGCTAAAGCATTTTGGTGCAAACTTTCTCCCTTATTGGTGGCTGCCAAAGGACTCTAGGCAAGGAAAAATTAGGTAGGTCAATGCAGGCCCTGTGGGGGGCGAAAGAGAGAGAGGAGGCGTTTAGCCAGCTGGTGCTCCCTTAAGAACAAATTCCCAAATTCATTCATGCAGCATAAATGAGCGAGACAGACTGGCAGAGGATAGTCACTCATACCACGGCTTTAAACACCACCCACGTACTGATGGCCCCACATTTTATATTTTCAATCCTCACCTCTCTCATGGTAGCCAGCCTACTGCATCCAACTGCCACTCCGTGTCTCCACTTGGGTATTTTATAGGTATCTCGAACTCAACACGGCCAAAATTGAACTGATTTCCCCTCCTAAACCTGACCTTTCCCTAGTATTTCTCATCCCAGTAAATGGCACCACCATACACCCACCTGCTCAAGTCAGAACTCACAAGTCATCCTTGATTCTTCTATGCCTCTTTCCCTCACCTTCCACATCCATCAGTCATGTCAGCTGTCTCCAAAACACATCCCTAATCTGCCCTCTTTTCTCCAATTCCACCTTCTGCCACCCTAGTACGACCACCGTCATCTCTTACTGGACCATGGCATTAGTTCCTAACTAGTTCCCATTTCCTCTCTTGTCCCCTACATCAGGGTCTCTCAGCCTCACATTGTTGACATTCTGGACTTAGTTCAACTTAGTCCCCCTTGTTTGGGGGAGGGGGCTGTCTTGTACATTGTGGGATGTTTAACAGCATCCCTGGTCTCCACCCACTAGATGCCAGTAGCACCCCCCCACCTCAAATTGTGACAAAGAAAAATGTCTCTACACATTCCCAAATGTCCCCTGGGGAACAAAATCATCTCTGGTCAAGACCTACTATCCTATATCCTACACTCAGAAGCCAAGATATTTTAAAAATGTAAATTGCATCATGTCACTCCCCTGCTGAAAACCCTCCAACATCTTCCCACCGACCTTAGAATAAAACCCACATTCCTTACTGTGGCTTACAAAACCCCCATGAATTGGGCCCCGCCTACTTCTCTAACACCCTCCCTTCCACACCACCCTCTCCCTCACTAAGCTCTAGCCACCCTGGTCTTTCTGTTCCTTGAACATTCCAAGCTTGCTCCCATCCCCCCTTGGCACCTGCCTAGAATGCACTCTCCTCACACCTTTGCATGGCTCACTGCTCATCCATACAAATCTCAGACCAAATGGTGCCTAACCAGCAAGGCCTTCCCTGCCCATCCTATCTAAAGAACCCCCTTACCTCCATTCTCTCTCACACTGCCCATTTATTCCTTCATCGTGCTAATCACAACAGCAAATTGTCTTGTTTTGTCATTTGCGCTCTATCTCTTCATCAGAGCACAAGCTCCTTGAGAGCCAGGACCCTGTCTCGCACCTTGTTCACTGCTATAGCCCAAGTGCTAGAATAACACCTGGCCCAGCACAGGCACTCAATGCTCCTTCCCTCCGCCTCCTCAAACCGCAGGTCAGGTTTCCCTTCTAAGATAATGCTTGGTGGGTGATGTTTAGTCTACCTTCAATTTTCATCTTCAACTACATTTGGCCTATGTTAGAAAGTGTCTGGGCGGGGGTACCATGTTCAAGGGCTTAGCAAAAGAAAATAACCTCAATATTGAAATATAAACAAAGGCCAATGAATGAATGAGTGAAAGTCTGTTCCTTGCCCCTGAGACTTTCAGCAGGCATATAACTGCTCCCCTGGTCACAACTTCAGTTCGCTCTCGGGCCCTAAGTTTGAGGCAGTGAGCATCATTCAGGGACTATGAATTCAAAACTCACCTGGCTCAGAGGTTCAAACAGCCTCTTTATCTGTCAGTTCAATTTATCCAGTATCGTGGGCCTCAAAATGTTTTGTGTTGGCTTCAAGTTAAATCACTGGGTCAAAGGCAGTGTGGTCCAAGGTGCCGCACGGTCAATAAGAGCTGGCTGAGTCCCGAAACCGCAGCTTGGCTCTCTCTTACATTGATTTATGGGCTGTTTCCATGAAGCCAAAGATGATTGGTCCACCTGGCAGCCGGCTGGCCGCAAACTGGAGGCAGCTCTGCCCTGGCTCCGGGCCATGGCCCTTGCCTGGCCTTTGGGAAGCGATTCATCGGGCCATTTTTACATTCTGGCGGGCTGCCGACCTGTCCCGCCGGGGCGGGCTCTCCACGCGGTGCAGAGCCGTCTCCACCCGCAGGGACGAGGACTGTACGTGGCGGGAGGACGTTTCAGTGCGCTGCGAGGAGGTCTCCACGTGCTGCGAGGATACCTCGAGGACGCGGGGGAGCCGCTTCCCAGAGGAGGGGGCGGGCCGCTCGCAGCGGCGCTCGGAGGTCTCCGCCTGCCAGGAGGAGGTCCGCACCTGCCGGGAGGACGTCTCCACGCGGTGGGACGAGGTCTCCACGCGCACCGTCGACGTCTCCCGGCAGTGGACGCTCTCCACCCGGGGCGACGGGGGCTTCCCCCGAAGGGGTGAGGACATTCTTCGAGTGTAACGGGGACAACGAGGCGTGAGGCCCCGCAGCCCAGCAGTCCCCGACAGTCACTCCTTTGGGTTACGTCACAGGGTAAGGAATGACGTCACAATGACGTGTGACGCTACCGCAAGCACGGGGGTGGACGAGAGTGCCACGAGAGGAGCACGAGGAGGCACGCACGTGGGCCCGTGGGGGCTGGACTGTACCTTTCAAACCCTGGGCCCCGGCCCTCGGGCGTTCCGTCGGGCCCCGCACCTCCCCCTCGCCTTCTGGGAGGCTGTGCGGGCGGGGCCGAGGCGGGCCGGGATGGGCGGAGCTTCCCGCCCCTTGCGCAGGGCTGTGTCCGCCCCTTGCGCAGGGCTGTGTCCGCCCCCTCGCCCCACAATGCCCCGCGACAGGAAGCGGGAGCCACGGCTTCCGGGACCTCCTCCGCCTCTCCGGGCGGTTGCTGTGTGTGGTTGGTGGCGACTTGGTGTCTTTGCTGGTGATGGCCGCGGCCGTCGCTATGGAGACTGGTAAGTAGTGCTCGGGGCCGCGGGTGTTCGTAAATAGAACTGTCGCGGGCCGGACGCTCCCGTCTCCCCGGCGACTCCTTGCAGGCCTGCCTCCCGGCAGGAATAGAACTTGGGCCGGGACGGGGAAGCCCGGCGGTAGTTCAGCCTTTTCCCAGTTGGTTTGTTTGCAGATCCTTTTTCCTCACTTGCTGTTCAAACACCGACCCCACCGGCTTCCCGGAGTGGGCGAGACGAAGGGAGAGGACTTCGATCTTACACCGTCCTCTCGATTTGTTTTCTGCGTCTCCAGTGAGCCTGCAGAAGTTTGAAATGTCGTCGACAGACTTGTGTATTATTATGCCACTGACGCTTCTCACACGTGTACACGCTCCTTGATCTTGCATACTCGCCGTAGTCTCTTTTTCAGCTTGCATTCGATGTTTTTTCCTGGTTCACTTAGCATTTACCTAGTTAAGCATTTTGCTTAACTTACTCACAACAGTTGTTGTGATGCGTTATTAAAATAAAGGAAGGCATAGTTATTACAACCTACCCCAGTGATCCCTGTTAAAATCCCTACATAGTGGCTCACAAGTGATAAATATTCTGCCTCGTGTGTGTTTCTCTTTTCTTTGATGACGTCTCTTTAACTTTAGAGAAACTTCTAACTTCTTTTTATCAGGGCTTTGCTTTTCTCAAACTTCTAAGGAAGGTTTATCACCTCCCACACCCGGTGTAGGAAAACCAGCACATGCCCTTCTGTATGCAGTAATATATCTCCGCTTTAGTCATGTTTTTCTTTACTGCTCTTTTTTCCCTGCAAACCAATATTATGTATAGTGACTTTTCTTTTGGATGATTTTTGCTGTCTTCTCTCCTAGATGATGCTGGAAATCGACTTCGGTTTCAGTTGGAGTTGGAATTTGTGCAGTGTTTAGCCAACCCAAATTACCTTAATTGTAAGTTGTTGAGCGCCTCAGTGAATTGAGTAGCTATTAATGATTTCTGACAGAAGGGTTGCAAATCATAGTAGTAACTGCTTTTGTACGTTCTGAATTGAACGGCATTACTGCCACACTTACATTGGTATATATAATTGAGCAAACTGGGACTTGTGTTTTGAATTCACTGTGTGTTGGTGGTGGGGATGTTATAAGTAAATTCTTTGTTAGGAGTCACAAATCAGTAATTCGCTGATTGGTTTGCTGTACAGATGTATTTTTTTTTATGCCTTTCAGTTCTTGCCCAAAGAGGTTACTTCAAAGACAAAGCTTTTGTTAATTATCTTAAGTACTTGCTTTACTGGAAAGAACCAGAATATGCCAAGTATCTAAAGTAAGTTTAACTTTTATAGTCCTAAATATATGTATACTTTATTATACTCCAAAACACCGATATTTAACAGATTTCTTAGTTTCACATTGGAAAAAATATGTTTTAAATCTCTCTACTTCTTTTAGTTGCCACCACCTTAATACAAAACACACTCATCACTAACTTGGATTATTGCAATAATCTACTCACTGGTTATCTCCACTTCCACTCTTACCTCCCCACTCCTCCCCCACCCCAAGCAAACAAAGCAAAACAATTTTCTACACAGAGGCCAACTTGATCTCAAAAATGTAAATCACAACATGTCACTTTCTTGCCTAGAACCTTTCAGTGGCTTCCCATTGCATGCAGAATAAAATACAGTTTCTTTTTTTGGGTGAGGACGATTGTCGCTGAGCTAACATCTGTTGTCAGTCTTCCTCTTTCTGCTTGAGAAGGATTGTTGCTGAGCTAACATCTGTGCCCATCTTCCTCTACTTTGTCTGTGGGACACTGCCACAGCATGGCTTGATGAGTGGTGTGTAGGTCCAGTGCCTGGGATCCGAACCAGCAAACCCTGGGCTGCTGAGGCAGAGCGTGCGAACTTAACCACTACTTCACCAGGCCAGCCCCAAAATACAACCTCTTTGCTTGAGCTAAAGCCCTATATGTTGTGGCCCTAACTTGTCTGACCTTACCTTGTACCCCATCTCATTGGGTTTCTGATTCCAAGGAACCCACAATCTGTAAATGTGACAACATAGCCATAGGCTGAAAATTAAAGAACATAGAAAGAGATACTTGTAAGGAAGGTTTTCTGGAGGAGGTAACCTTACCTGAGTCTTTTTTTTTTTGAAGGTTGACGCCTGAGCTAACAACTGTTGCCAATCTTTTTGGTTTTTTTTCCCCTGCTTTATCTCCCCAAATCCCCCCTGGTACATAGTTGTATATCTTAGTTCCAAGTTCTTCTAGTTGTGGCATGTGGGATGCCGCCTCAACGTGGCCTGACGAGTGGTGCCATGTCTGTGTGCACGATCGGAACCAGTGAAACCCTGGGCCGCTGCAGTGGAGCACACGAACATGAACTTAACCACTCCGCCACGGGGCTGGCCCCCTTACCTGAGTCTTAACAGCTGCTTTGTTTAGGGCCTCCTATGTGCCAAGCACTGTGTTCATTTAAAAAATATACGTATATGTATCATTCAGGTTGTGCAACAGATACTCTTGTTTTAAGGCTTACCAAATTGCAAGAAGTATATTATAATCACAAACCCATTCTTTTTTAATGGTAAAAAAATAAACTTTGAACTTACACCTCTGCCTTGTCTTCACTAGGTAGTCTGAAAGCAATAGTGAAACTTTCTGCCTTTTTTCCTAAACACACTAAATTTGAGAGGAAAATGTTTCAAACTTGTACTTTACCCAAGTCACTTTTCTGATCTGTATCTGATAACTACTGATTCACGGAGCCCACATCTTCCTGCTGCCCTCAGGACCCTTTGCATCCTTAGTGGCCCTTTATAAACAACCATGTATGCATGTAGTAATCTGGAGAAAAGACTTTTTTATTAGATTGCCACATGTTGTGTGCAGGTAGACTTACAGACTCAGCGTTGGACACTGAGCCTGAGACACCGTCGAGTTCAGCTTCACCCACAGCGTTGCTGAGATGGTCACCTACACTCTGGCTGGAGGTTTCCAGGGAGCATATATTGCTCCGTTCGAGAACAGCTGATTTTATTGTTAGCTAGATGCTAGAAAAGTCTTCCTTGTGTTATAGCTTCAACCATGTTCCGTGTTTTGTCCTTGAATTAATCCAGAACCAGCCTGTGCCCTCTTGAGGCAACGGCCCTTCAGATATTTCAATTCAAGAGAGCTGGCAAATCAACCTCTGTGGGCATTTCATTCAGTCTGCACAAAGTTTTTTTTTTTTTTAATATTTGCCAACATTTAAAGATTGGAAAGTTTCATATAATAATCTAGATTTCTAGCTACTCTTTAAAATGTGGAGGATCTGGTAACCCTAGGTCTTCGTTCTCCCAAGTCAACAAATGGCTAGAGCTGAGGAGCAGCTGCCTCCTTGAGACCCCTTCCACCATTTGACCTGCTTCAGTGGTAGCCAGTACCTGCAGCTGTAAGGTATCTCTTACATCTGTTTTTCTCAGCTGTTTTCAGCCATTTCTCATGTGCCCTCCTTTGGATATTTTACAGTTGTGCCTTATGTTATTCAGTCAAGAACTAAACACAGGCCTTCAGATGTCAGGATACAGTGGACCAAATAGCATTTTTTCTTCATATGGACGTTACACTTCTATTAGTTCAACTTAAGTTTACATTACCTTTCTGGGAGGCAGGGGCAAGGATTCACATTGTTGACTTGCTGGGACCTTTGTGTCTAAAATTTTCAGTTCTGGGCCAGTCCCATGGCCGAGTGGGGCTGAGTGGTGAAAGTTCCCCATGCTCCCCTTCGTCAGCCCGGATTTGCCAGTTTGGATCCCCAGCACAGACCTGCTCCACTCGTCAGCCATGTTGTGGAGGCATCCCACTTACAAATAATAGAGGAAGATTGGCACAGATGTTAGCTCACAGCTAATCTTCCTCAGGCGAAAAAAAAGACGAAGATTGGCAACAGCGGTTAGCTCAGTGAATCTTCCTCACCAGAAATAAAATAAAATCTTCAGTTCTTATTTTCATCAATACAATTAACTGAGTTGTCCATTTATGTCTTATTTACTGTTTAAAATCTAAATGCAGAACTTTCTTCTGTACGTCTTCTCTTTCATCATGTAGGTTAATGCTATGATTATATCCTGTCAAAATGTTTATAATTCCTATTCTGTCATTTAGTGTATTGTGAGCATTGTCTTCTACAAGTTTGATAAATGATCGTTGTGTGGCTAAATTCCGGTTACTGACTAAATGCTACCTGAGACCATTCTCTTAGTTGTCATGTTAACTTATTTTACAGGTGAAGAAACTAAATCGTAGAGAGGTTAAGTACCTTGTTCAAGGCCACCCAGCTGGTGAATGGCAGAGCTGGTATTCAAACCCAGGTCTTTTTAACTACCAGTGCCCTCAGGAAAAGGAAATAGCCAGGGGAGGTGTGAGTAGGGCATTGTCGGCTTAGCTACTAAGAGTTACAAGCAGCTGTGTGTCTTTGGAGTGTAGATAGCAAACCTCTAAATCTTGGAAGGACAGTGTGGTATTGGGCCCTGCTAGTCAGTGTGGTCCTCAGACCAGCAATGTTGGTGTCACTTGTGAAGCTTGTTGGAAATGCAGTGTTCAAGCCCAACCCCAGACCTACTAAATCAGAGTCTGCATTTTTAGGAAGTGATTCATGGGAACGTTAAGATTTGAGAAGCACTGCCTTATATACTGTTTCCCAAACTTTAGTCATTTGTATACCACTTGTACAATTTTAGCTATATCTGCGTACTCCCTGTATGATTTAAAGTTTTTTGATTGATTCATTTAAATTTTGTCTTTTCCATTTGAAATAATGTCACTTAGAAAACTGCTGGAAAAGTAGAGAATTCCTGTATACTCTTCACCCAGATATTCTAAATATTAATATCTTATGTAACCACAGTACAATGATCAAAATCAGAATATTAATATATTATTTAATCTTATTATCCAGTCTGCAGACCTCATTCCCATTTTGCCAGCTGTCTCACCATGCCCTGTGTCTAGACAGTATCCAGTCTAGGCTCACATGCTACATTTTGTCATGTCGTCTTAGTCTGTTTTAATCTGAGTTCATTGGTCTTTTTTATTCCCCATGAGCAGGACACAGAAGTGATGTTGTGTCCTTCTTGGTCTATCAGGAGTTACAGGAAGTCAGTTTGTGCCACTACTGGTGATGTTAATTTTGATCACTTGGTTGAGGTGGTGGCTGTTAATTTTCTCCATATCAAGTTACTGTTTTTCTTTTTGTATTTACAAGTATCTTGTGAGGAAATACTTTGAGACTATGTAAATACCTTGTTTCATATTCTTACTTTTACCCACTAACTGTAGCATCTATTGAAGATACTTGCCTGAAACAGTTTTTACTGTGGTGATTTTCTAATTCCATCATTCTTTCTACATTTATTAATTGGAATTCAGTTGCACGGAAGGAACCCTTGTTCCTGATTTATTTAAAAAAGTTACATGAATATGGACTCTTGGATTCTTATTTTTGTCTTGTGGATTGTTATTACGTATTTTCTTGCTCTGGTGATTCCAGATGTGGCTGTTGGGAGCCCTTTCAAATTGGCTCCTGAGGACTTTTGACATATCCCCATAATTTTTTGAGCACTTTTCTGGAGTTAAATAATATTCCAGGCTTATCTCTTACTTTCTCTGCCTTAGCCCTGGAGTCAGCCATTTCTCCAAGGAACACTGGAAAATGCTATTTAAAACCCACAATCTGGGTATTAAATGTGTTCATTGGTACCACAGTGTCTTTGCTTCTACGCCCTCTCAGCACACAAAGCTAGCAATTCTGTGTATGGGTGTGAAAATATACACACACAGCTATACCTCTTTCTGTATCTGTCTCTATATATTAAAAGCCATGAGTTCATACTGATGTTTTCAGTTCCAGCTCAACAGGGTTCATTCTAGCCTTCCCCTTTTCCTTATCTGTAACTCTTTTTCTGATAGCCAGAAATTTGGTTCTCTTTATCCCCAGTATATTTACTTATGTATTTGCTCAATCTTAGAGTCTACAGAAAGTAATTTCAGAATTGCTATAGCCCCATGGAGAACTAGACTACAATATTTATGTGTAGTTCTTTCTGAAATTGACTTACTTTTAAAATTTGTCTTTTTATCATTATTGATGGAAAACCAACAGTTATCAATTAAACATATAATTACTAAAATAAAAAGTGTTCATGTTCCTCACTTTGGAAACCGCCAGAATAGAATAGCATGATTTGCTCCACATGTTGATCCCACTTACCAGTTACTGTGTGGTCTTGGGCAAGTTATTTAATTTTTCTGAACTTCAGTTTTCTCACTGTTGAAAATTTGCTTAATGCTGACTTTTGATGACTAGCTTCTTTGCATAAGCAGGAAAACAAAGAACTCTACACTACCAAAGTGTACTAAGTTAATGTTATAGAAATGGTAGGCTGCAAGATCATTTTTAAGTGAGTAACTGAATTAGAGCTTGGCATTATTGACTTAAATTATGTCGATCATTAACTTATACACTTAAACCCAGGTACCCTCAGTGTTTACACATGTTAGAACTGCTCCAATATGAACACTTCCGCAAGGAGCTGGTGAATGCTCAATGTGCAAAATTTATTGATGAGCAGCAAATTCTGCACTGGCAGCACTATTCTCGGAAGCGGATGCGCCTGCAGCAAGCCCTGGCTGAGCAGCAACAGCAGAATAACACGTCAGGAAAATGAAAAGCTGGATCCAGACCAGGCTGTTAAGACATGCATATATGCTTTTGTACAGTGAAGACAAAGAGACTCTTCCTACCTCCCTTGATTGTGGTAGCACCTAAACCTTTAGTGTACTATTTAATCCAACCAACTTTTTATTGTTAATAGATTATTTCTGGTAAACCAGAATTGTTCTGCTTTGATTTCCCTGTGGATTTGTAAGTTTTTATCAGTATTTAACACAATCAACTGAGCAAGAACAGAAATGTTAGGTGCTTTAGACCGATTTAAGGAGGCAGTTGGGGATGGGTTAAGGGGAGGGTCACCAGACATCCTGAACTCTAAGCCTAGCTCTGTTCCTCAGTACAGTGGGGTCTGGGGCAAGAGTCTCCTGGAACCTTCCTGTCCCTCAGATCACCTACCCCACCTCTCTTAGTGTAGAACAAGGGGAATGGAGTTAATGACCTCTTTAAATCAGAGAGCAGCAACTGCTTGAGGTTCTTAAATTCTTCAGGGGAGGAAGTCATTCTTGTATCAACCACCTGCTTTGCGAGAGAGCTTTAAGGAAGAATCATTGGTATGTCACTGAGCTAGTGAGGCAGGGGAAGGTGGGCGGTTAACTACTAATTGGACTCTTGACCTTAGTGTAGGACAAAGATGAGGAACCTCAAGTACTTGTGCTTATTTGGGAAAGCTAACATTTGTTTGGCAGATACCACAGACCAGGCACTATGTTAAGTGCTTGGTTGCATTGTCGTTTTATTATCAGAACAATCCTTGTTCATAAAGGAGGAAACTGAGGTTTAGACAGGTTAAGTAACTTGCCTACAGTTACACAGCTAGTAAGTGGTAATCAGGGTGACTGACTCAATGGGCTGGAGTCCTTCCACCACTGAGTTATCCCGGCTCTGACCCCTGCCACCGGCCTCATCCCAGGTGGAGTGGAGCACCTCAGACAGCTGTGAAACAGACTGCCCGCATGAAGCACAGGTGGATTAGATGTATTGTGCTTTCCTCCAGTGGTTAGGTCAAGTTCCACCTTTTAAAGCCAAAGAAGGTGCTTTAGGATAACAGTTCATTATAAATTCATGGAATTAAGGTAAAAGACCCTAACTCCTTTAGGGATTTGGAAGCTGCCTATTGACTATTAGGGGTTTTTAGATATTTCTATCACCTCTAATACACATTCCTTTGTGCTATTACTGCCACTCCTGAAGACGTATTTTACCTGTATCTTAAAGCTCTCCATGTATTACAAGCAAACGAAGGGTTTGTGAGCATTTTAATAGAACTCTCTATTATGTAGACAGATACTAAATTTTTTTACACCATCATTTATTTATTTGTTGCTATCATGAATTCAAAGCAACTATGCAGTTTCTTTTATACTGGAGCAAATCAGGAAATCAAGACACAATTGCCATTGTCAAATCTTAATCTTCAGAGAACAACATCTCCACAAGGTTGGCCTGAAGACACTCAGATTCTACCAGTTTTTGAGGCTGTAAGGGAAGAACAGTCAAATCTTAACCTGCAGCTACAAAAATATTAGTAAGGGAATGAGTTCTGTCTTGAATGACACAAATCTTGGAAGAGAGAAATTATGCCATTCAGAAACTATCAACTAGTTGTAACAAGTTTTATGAAATAGTTAAGATAATTACCTTAAGATGAATCATTAAAATACTTGGCTTCGTAAACTAAAACAGGAAACAGCAAGCCCAGAGCCATCCCCTGCCCTCAACTCTTCAATTTAAGCCCCAGGGCCATGACTAAACTAGAGGAGGTGCCCTTTCTTTTCAACCAAAATTATGGATTAAATAGAAAACAACCATTGATGCCAGCATTTTAAGGAATTATGTGTTAAGCACCTTTCTTGAGCAGTGCTTACAGAATTTCAAAAGAAGAGTGGCTTTAGAAGAAGCATGAAAAAGACCTAATATTTAGATATTTTACATTATTAATAGCTTATTGGGATTTGCCATAGGGATGGACAACCAGGTTGTATGTTTTTAATGTACTGTGAACAGCAATCTGATGTTTGGGATGAAATGTCAAAACCTTTGCAAATTTGAATTCGGAGCAAGTTAAAACAATTCTGACATGGTGAATTGTAGCCCCAACTCAGTTAAAGAAAGATACTCACTGTTCCATATTTAAGTAGTGTAGGCACTGCAGTTATTTTCAGATTTTTCCTGAAGTCATTATTCGGATCTTTCCAACTATTTTGAAAAGAAAAAGTGATCATGAAAACATTTACTTGGTTTCTTACAGTTTGCTTAATATTTGATATATTCCTACATTTAATCTTTTAGTAATCATTGTTTTTGTTGTAAACATTTAAAAGAACCTAGAGGACTATGACTTCTCTATTCCCCTGTGCAAAGTTTTGATATAAAGTGTGACTAAGGTATAAAATAAATGTAAAGACAATTAAGTTCTGAACTAACACCAGGCCAAATTCATTGAATTACCCATACCTAATAGAAGTGGCTGATTATTTGAATTTTTAATTTGTATTTAATATCTTCTAATTGCTTGACTTATCCGTCTGTACCTTAGGATGTGAAGCTAGTCCTGAGGCCCTTCCCGCCTATGTCTGCAAGAGTCTAGAGCATGTCTGGGAAATAGAGTATACATTGCCACTTACTAAGGTCTTTCTCCTACTTGGCAGTGGATGAACACACATCCTTCGCCAACATGCTTCAGCCCCTCTTGTACAACTGGTTCAGCTTTAAAAAAAGTTGATAGAAAATAATTACACATCAACTCTATAATAAGTCACTGATAAACTGCATCGCCCTCCCCTCCCGTCCCCTCCGTCTTGATAAGAACTCACACTTTAACCTGCAGTTAACTAAGGAGATTAACGGAAGTCAGGAGTTCTTTCTGATTTGAGAGCCACTTTAAGGGTAAGGACCAAGTCCCAGTCCGCTGTACCCACGCCACAGCGCCAAGAACAATGAAAGGCTTAAATATTTGCTGACTTATCGAAAGGAGACGGAGTCACGTCTCTTGTAAGACACTAATCATGCTGGGGCAGTGAAAAGTTTTAAAGGACCAGATTCCCAGATTACTGGGTGGAATGGTAGAAGAGCACTCTAGGCGGGGCAGGGAAGGACTTAACAGGAGAGAAGTGAACAGGACAGGAAAAGGAAGCACGATGACAGCTCAGATCGCCCCGCGGGTCTCCAGGAGCAAGCCTCCTCCTGCCTCTTTTCAACCCGGCAGTTTGGCCAGAGCCTCGGCCTTCCTGCCCCTTCGTCTGGGCAGCAGTCCCCGAATCCCGCCTTACCCTGTACGCAGTCGGGGCACCAGCTTTTCCCTCCGGCGTCCTTAGAGCCGGTGAAGTAGGCGAAAATAGTTTTGCCCTTGTGCTGCTCCACAGCCCGGTTGAACTCCTCGAAGCCGGACACCCTCACCTCCTCGTACTGGGCCATCGGGAGAGCACGCCGCGCACCGCCAGAGGCGTCTTCGGGCTGCGCCGCCGCTGGGCGGGGTCCCACGTGGGGCGGGGCGAAGCTGCTTCCGGTTGGGGTAGGAGCTGGGCGGTGCCTCAAGGAGCCAGCGAGGCTCTGAGGTGCTACGGCAGCCTCTGACGGCCATAACTCATCCGCACCGTCTTTCTGCCCTCGCGTCTCAGGTCTTTCCGTGCTGGCTGCGCTCCGAAACCCAGGCTTTTGCCCCAGTCGGGTCCCGGCCCCAGCCCCATATACAGTGGCTGCAAAACCTGCCGCCGCGCAGCCTCTGGCCCCTTAGGTGGCTCGGGAGCCTCAACGGCTCCCAAGCAGCCCTGCGCCTGTTGCTATGGCGACGAGGCGAGCGGCCGGAAGCGAGGCCTAGTTGCGGCCTCCCGGTCCGCTGCCCGGTAGCCGCGCCTCGTCGCAGGCCAGGTGGGCTCGGGCCGGAGCTGGGGGGGATACTGGGCAGCTGCGTTAGGAGTCCTGGACCCGGGGTAGAGGCGACCTTGGCTAGGGACGGATCCTGCCGTTCGTCGCCCCCAATTACCTTCTCTCTTGCCGGGGCTTTGGGGGGGGGGCCGGGGACTGGGGGCGGGCGCCCGGGTGGGTGGGGGGCTGGGAGGGAGTGAGGCTGTGAGGGCTGAGCTGAGTGCGTGCGTGCGTGTGGGGAGCAGCCGTAGGAGCAGGGGCCGGGACGGGCAATGCCCAGGGGCTGCGTTGGGGAAGACGAGGATTGTCCTCGAGCTATGAGCAGGGCGACTGGCCGCGGGGTGCCCGGGCTGCGTGGGGCCGAACTGGCGGCGGAGCGGCCGGGCCGCTGTGTAGGGCCCAGCAGGTCGGGGCGCGGAGTTCGGCGGCCATGGGGGAAGCGCTGGGGCGCAGGGTCGTCCCGAGGCAGTGGAGCGCGACGCCAGGCGAGGTCCTCGGTATGGGAGACGAGCTGTGTGAGTGCAGAAAGGCTGCAGGACTGTCGGCGGCCATGGGGGAGAAGACGAGCCGAAGAGACAGCCGAAGCCGCGGGCGCGAACGCGGCCTCCGGGACACCTGCCACTGCAGGCTCGACTGAGGCTGCAGGGGACCCTGGGACGGTGTGGGTGAACGGGGCCGTGGGGGAACCGCAGGTGGTGGGGCCTGCCGGGTCTGTGTGGGTGACTGGCACTGGGGAGGAGGAGGAGACAGTGTATCGGAGTCCCCGGTGCTGTGAGAGAAAAGGCCGTCCGGGATCTATGGGGCATGAGAGCATTCTAGAATTGTGGTTGAAGGTGCAGGCTATGAGGGCGGCTTCGGGATGTGGGGAAGGAAGCAGAGTCGAGCTTCATCCTGTGCCTGCAGGAGGGGGACCAGTTGAAAGGGGTGTTCCTGGCCGGGCTTCATGGGTGGAGACCAGCCGCGTGGGTCTCACAGGACCGTGGGTGAAAGGACAGGCCGGGGCAGTCCCCCGGGCCACAGGAGTATCTACAGCTGCAGGCCTAGGGGCAGGTTGTGAGAGGACCTCAGGCTCGTGTGGGCAAGGACAGGCTGTGAGGGTGCTTCCTGTGGGTGTTCCTGGAACTCTGGAGACAAGCTCAGGGGTTGCCCCGCACCTGCTGGGGAGAGGACAAGCGGTGGGGGTGCCTGGGGCTGGAGAGAAGGTAGGCTATGGGGTTGCCCCAGGTCCTTGGGGAAAAGGACCCACTATGGGGGTGCCTGGGGCCATGGAGTGGCCTGAGGCTGTGGAGGTACCCAGAGCTGTAGAGGGAGGGATAGGCTATGGGGGTGCTTCGGGTCTGTGGGAGAGAGGGCAGTCAGTCCAGGTGCCTGGGGCTCCGGCTCAAGAGGCAGCCTGTGGCGATACCCCAGGCTTATGGGGAAGAGGACAGGCTGCGGGGGTGCCTGATGCTGTGGAGGAAGAAACTATCTCTGTGGGTGCCCCAGGCATGTGGCGGAGGAGACTAGCTGTGGAGGAGACAGGCCCTGGGGGTATTCCTGGCCTGTGGGGTAGTACTGCACAGCCTGTAGGAGTGCCTTGTGCTATTGAAGAGGAAGCTAGATGTGGGGGTGATCCAGGATTCAGGGAAAGAGGACAGGCTGTGTGGGTAGAGACAGGCTCTGGAGGTGACCCAGGATCATGGGAAGCTGCACAGACTGCAGAGGTATCTGGTCCTGAGGAGCATGAGGCAGGGCCTGGGGGTGCTCCAGGTCTTTGGGGTGTAGGGCAGGCGATGGGAGTACCTAGGGCTTTGGGGAAGGAGACAGGCTGTGGGACTGTCCCCAGGCTGTGGGAGACAGAACAGCCTGTGGGGTTGTCCCAGGCGGTGGTGGTACCGGGAGCTGTGGGAGAGCAGACAAGCTGGGATGGCGGTATCCCAGGCCTATGGGGTAGGCAGCAGGCTCTGGGGGTGCCTGTGGCTGATGTAGTGCCGGGGGTTGTTGGGGAGGAGACTTGCTGTGGGAATGTCCCGAGTCTGTGGGAGAGGAGGCAGGCTATGGGGGAGCAAGGGGCTCTGGTGCCTACAGTTTTAGGGGTACCTGGGCCTGTGGATCAAGAGACTGCCTACGGGGATGTTTCATGTCTGTGCAGGAGGAGACAGGCTGTGGGGTTGTCTGAGACAGTGGGGATACCTGAGGCAGCAGGTGTGCCCAAGCACAGGTGTGCCCCAGCAGGAGTACCGTCAGCTATGGGTGTGCCTGGGTCTGGAAGAGTGCCTGCCAGGGCACCTGCTGCTGTGTGGGTGTCTGGCCCTATGTGTCAGGAAAGCAGTTCTAGAGATGTCTTGAACCTGTGGGAAAGGATTCATACTGCTGGGATACCCATGGCTTCAGGGGTCCCTGTGGCTCCTGAGGAGCTGTGGTCTGTGGGAGAGGATCCTGGTTCTGTGGCTTTTCCAGAATCATGGGGAAGGAGACAGGTTATTGGAATTCCTGGGACTGACAGGGTTTCTGTAGCCCCTGAGGTACCTGGGCCTGTGGGGGAGGAGACTGGCTCCGGGGGTGTCCTGAGATCTTGGGGAAGGAGACAGAGTGCCAGGGTTCCTATGGCTGCTGAGGTGCCCACGGCTCCTAGAGTGGCTGGTCCTCTGGGGGTGGAGATTGGCTCTGGGGGGTTCTCATGCTTGCCAGGAAGGAGACAGAATGCAGGAGTGCCTGTGGCTGCAGGGCTGTCCACCGCTGGTGGGGTGCTGGTGGCTCCCAGGGCACCTAGGTCTTTACGGGAGGAGACTGGGTCTAGAGGTGTCTCAGGTTTATGGGGAGAGAGAGAGACAGTGCGAGGACTGGCAGATGGCAAGGGTCGCACAGGGATGGGGATGCCCACCACTGCCAGGATGCCTGGGCCCATGGGGGAAAAGATGGGCCCTGGGGGCATCTCAGGCTTGTCTGGAGGGAGAGAGACTGCAGGGGTATCCATGGCTGTGGGGCTGCGCACAGCCACGGAGGTGCCTGGGCCAAGCAGGGAGGAGACAGTCTCTGGAGGTCTCTTGGGCTTATCGAGAAGAAAACAGATTGCTGAGATGCCTGTGGCTGCTAGAGTTTCCATGGCTATGGGAGTGCCCACAGCTGCTGGGGTCCCTGGGCCGATGGTGGGTGATACCAGCTCTGGGGATGTCTCAGCTGTATGGGGAAGGAGGTCAGCAACTGAGGTGTCCGCTGCTGCCCGGGCTCCAGGACCTGTGGATGGGGAGATCGGCTCTGAAGGTGTCTCAAGCCTGCGTAGAAGGAGACCCGATGGAACAGTCCCTGAGGCTGTGGGGGTACCTCTGTCTTTGGGAGTGCTTGCAGCTGTAGGAGTCCCCATGGCAGGGCGTGTGCCTGCTGCAGTGTGGGTGACTGGGTCTGCAGGCGAAGAAATGAATGCGGCTGTCTCAGGCCTCACAGTGGTGAGGAGTCAGTCCATAGAGGGACCTGGGCCTTCAGGGGAGGAGACAGGAGGCGGAAGTAGCCTGGGACTGACGGGGAGGAGCCGGGCCGTGGGGGTATCTTGTGGACGTGGGACCAGGTTATGGAGCTGCCCAAGATCTGTGGGGGAAGGAGCAGACTATGAAGATGTGCCAGAAGTGTCAAGGACAAGAAGGACTAGGGGAGTGAATGAAGCTGCGGAAGTGCCGCCAGTTTCAAGTGAGGAAACGGACATTGGCCGTTTCAGAGATCATTTACAGCAGAGTGGGAGGAGACAGACCGGAGGAGTTGGAGTGAGGGGGAGCAATCTGGGAGAAAATTATGTCGGGGAGGACAGATTGAGGGGAATGTTCCAGTAGTGTGTGTGGGGAACAAGTTGGGGGGATCCTGGGGCTCTTTGGGAGGGAACAGGTTAGGGGGAGATTTGTCCTGGGTTATGGATGAAGGCACAGGCCATAGGGGTGTCTCAGGATAGGGGAGAGAGATACTTCATGGAGATATCCCACGGTATGTGGGGTAACAAATTGGGAGGTTTCCTGGAGCAGTGGGAAAGGGGCAGGTTGCAAGGAGAGGGATGTCCCAGGACTTTGTATAGGGGGATGGTTTGGGAGTGGGTGTCCCTGGACTTTGTGCGTGTATGTGTGTTTGTGTGTGTGTGTGTAGCATCACTCGAGGCATCGTGGAACTGTGGGGATCACTTAATTTTTTTCCTAGTGGAGAATGGATTATTAGGCCTTTGGCATCCAGGGGGAAAGTGCTGACCACGTAAATGTCACAGATGCCCTGGCCCCAGTCCTGCAGGCCCCTCCAGTCTGCGGCTTCAGCCCCTGGACTGTGGTGATGTCAAGCCAGTTGGGATTGCCTCGCTCATGTGCCTCTTCCCATCTTTGTTTCTGATCATGTCTCTACAGCCTTAGAAATAAGGGATCTTGGACAGCTGCCCTTATATTCCTATAGATGTGTCTGTTTTTAAGCAATTCCAGCCTACAAACTTCGGGTTTATTCAAAAGCTTAAGTTAGGGATTTTTTAAAACCTGAATTTCCTGATTGATTTACTGTGGAATTTTTTTGAGAACAAATTTCCCAGTCTGTTTAAAACTAGTCAGTTTATGGAAAATCAGCTTAATTCTACAAATGTTGAGTTAAATTGTCTGCTATGCTCAAAGCACTGTGTTGTGGGAAATATGAGAGAAGAGCAAGACAAGGCCCTTACCTTCAAGGAATGTTGTCTAGCTGGGAAGATGAGACATATACCTGTGAAATAGGTAAATAACAATATGAGACAAGTGTGTGATAAGCACGTGATGAGTGCAGGGAAAAAAAATGTCTATAAGGAGGCATTCAGGATAGGGAGAGGGGTGAAAGGGGCATAGCCCATAGCAGCTTATAAACACTTGCATATCTTTTATCTCACTGTGTGTATAGGGTAGAGGGAGGATGGGGAGAAGTTGAAGATTTAGAGCGGTCATTCAGCTGGTTAATGGCAGATCCTGGCGTACATCTAGGTATTCTGATCCTGTAGAGTCATTCACTTAGGTCCTTTTGAGCTGCCTAGTAGAGTAGAGCCTAACTGCCTTTGCCTAGTGGTTAGGGTGTATTAATGTGGGCTGTGTGTCCATAAAGCTGCCCTGCTGGGAAGTGCTTGTGTACAACAGCAGCACTCTGTTTTTGCAATAATGTCCTACTGGAGACCCTTCAGATTTGAAATTTGGAGTGAAAAAGGCTCAAGAGATCGTCTTGAGTGTGTTCCCCTATTCTCTTGGAAAGTAGAATTTCAGAAGTGTCGTTGCTTTTGTAAATGGAAGAAACTATTATATATCTGTCCTTAAACATTCACTCTTTAGGGTGGGATTGCTGTGGGCTACTTATAGAGTATTACATGAGCCTGGTATTGTGTTTTACTTATTCTTTCCCTTTGTTTGAAGACTCTTGGTCTGAAAGTCGCTTTCTTTTATTTTAAGGCAATGATTTTAGGGAAGAGCTGTTGGCCCAGGAGTAGGCTTTCGGTCTTGTTCTACGCTGTCTGACGTGATGGGACCAGGCAGACCAGCTTCAACCTGTGTTCATCCAGCATCTGGTGACCAACTGGATGAGAGGAGTGACCCCAGGAAACTTCAGACGCAGGTAGTTTTGTTTTTTCTTTGGATTTATATTATGAAGCATTTCAACATAAAAGTTGAAAGAAAAGGACAGTGAACACCTTTTAAACCACCTTCTAGGTTCAACAATTGTTAAGTTTGTCGTGTTTTTCTGTCCACCCATCTCTCTAAAATTGTTGCAGAACCATTTCAAAGTTGCAGACATCATCACACCTCACTTGTGAATATTTTAGAATACTAATCCTGAAAATAAACTTTCCTACTTAACCATAATACTGTTACCACACCCAGGAAAATGGACCAAAAAACCCAGTGTTTGTTCAACTTTACCCAGTTGTCCCCACAATGTCTTCGCCCTCAACATTGTATTAATGAAAACCTTCAAATGCAGAAAAGTTGAATTTTCCATCCCTCTAGAATCCATTTATTAGTCTACCTTATTTTTTGACACATACCAAAATAAATTGTATGCACAAGTATCCTAACTACTTTACCATGCATATCATACACTGGAATTAATTCTTTGTTTACCATTTTTTCTTTTGATGTAAATTTTACATCTGAAATGAATACATTGAATTGTATATATCTTTGCACATTTGCTGAGTTTTGACAGATGTACACACGTGTGTAACCCATACCTCTATCAAGATACAGATCATTTCCATTACCCCAGAAAGTTCTCTTATGCCCCTTCCTAGCCAATCCCCACCCCTACCTCTCTTGAGGCAACTACTGTTCTAATTTTTTTTTTTTTTTTTTGAGGAAGATTAGCCCTGAGCTAACGTCTACCACCAATCCTCCTCTTTTTGCTGAGGAAGACTGGCCCTGAGCTAACATCCATGCCCATCTTACTCTGTTTTATGTGGGACACCTGCTACAGCATGGCTTGATAAGTGGTGTGTAGGTCTGCACCCGGGATCTGAACTGGCAAACTCTGGGCCGCTGAAGCGGAACATGCAGACTTAACCGCTGTGCCACCAGGCTGGCCCCAGTTCTAATTTTTTTCCACCATAGATTAGTTTTGCCTGTTCTTGAACTTCTTATAAATGGAATCATATATTGTGAACTCTTGTATAAGGCTTCTTTCACTTCGTATGTTTTTTGAGATTCATTCATGTTACTGCATGTATCAGTAGTTTGTCACTTTTTAATACTGAGTAGTATTCCAAAGTCGGATGACACCACAGTTTATCCATTCTGCAACTGATGGATACCTGGCTGTTTCTAGCATGGGTTATTATAAGTTTTACTGCTGTGAACATTCTCGTACAAATCTTTTTGTAAACCTGTGTTTATTTCTCTTGAGTAGATACTTGGGAGTGAAATCTCCGGGTCATAGAATAAGGTATATGTTTAGTCTTTTAATCAGCCAAGAGACCTTTTTCCAACATGATTCTACCATTTTACTTTCCTACCAACACTGAATAAGAGCTCTAGTTGCTCCACATCTTTGCCAACACTTATTGTTGTTTTTTTAGTTATAGCCATTCCGGTGGGCGTGCAGTAGTATTCTCTCATTGTTGTTTGCAAAGGAAATCTTTTGAAATTTTGATCTACTTTCAGACTGACAGAAAAGTTGCAAGAATAGTACACAGAATTCCTGGATACTCTTCTCCTGGATTCCCCAAATGTTAACATTTTAGTACATTTTCCCTCCCTCCCGTTTTTTGTCTCTCACTGTTTCTCCATGCACACACACACAGAGTGTTTTCTAAACTGATTAAGAGTAAGTTGCGGACATGATGCCGTTTTACCCCATGTGCTTGTATGTGTATTTCCCATGTACCACAACTAGAAGGACCCACAGCTAAAATATACAACTATATACTGGGGGGATTTGGGGAGGAAAAAAAAGAAGATTGGCAACAGTTGTTAGCTCAGGTGCCAGTCTTTAGGGGAAGAAAAAACAAAACAAACACTTCTCTTGTATAATCACAGTACAGTGATCAAAATCAGGAAATTAACATTAAAATAATGCTATCATGTAATCTACAGACCCTACTGAGGTTTTGTTAGTTGTCCCAATAATGTCCTTTATAGTGAAAGAAAACCCAAGATCGTGAGTTGCATTAGGTGTCACGTTTCTTTAGTTTCCTCTAATCTGAACGATCTCTGGATCTGTCTTTGTATTTCATGACATTGACATTTTTGAAAAGTAACGGCCAGTTATTTGAGGATTTTTCTCTCAATTTGAGTTTGTCTGAAATTTTCTCATAATTACATTCAGGTTATACACTTGTGGTAGGAAAACCACTGAAATGATGCTGGGCTCTTCTCAGTGCATCATATTGGGAGATGCATGTCATTGATTGAGTCCCATTGCTGGCGATGTTAACTTGAATCATTTGATTAAGGTGCTGTCTGCCAGGTGTTCCATTGTAAAGTTACTCTTTTACCTTTTGTAATTCAAAGTATCTGTCTTTGAGACTATGCTAATATCCTTTTACTCCCCAAACTTTCATCCACTAGTTTAGCATTCATTGACGATTTTTGCCTGAATCACTTTTTTATTATGATGCTTGGGAAATGGTGACTTTATTTATTTACATCAGAGCAGACTCATAGTCTTACTTTATTCAATAGGATATTCAAGTGGTCTCTGGTTTGGCCAGTGAGAGTCACTTCAAGCTGACTCCAGTGTCCTTTTCACATGTTTCCGACAATCTTTGAACACTTTTTGGTATAAAAAGATATTTTAGGCTCAGCGCATTTTTTCCATGTCCCAGCCCTGGAATCAACCCTTAATCTAAGAAACTTTGTCCCTTTAGTGGAGAATGGAATTTGGAAATCTGTATCTGGATACTAGATACACTCGTTAATTCTTGGGTGTTGTTTTTAGACCTTCTCAGAGGATGTAACTGGGAAATAGATGTATATACTTGTGTCCTTGTATACACATTCATATGCACATCTACACTCACATCTGTATCCCTTCCTCCTCCCCTCTCCTCTCTTTCTCCCTGCTTCCCTCCCTTTCTGTGTATCTGCTTATCTACCTATCTGTCTATATTAAAATCTATGGATGTCTCCAGTTCCAACCCAACACTAACCATATTTGTAACTCCCTGTTCAACAGTGTGGAACCTGTCTCCGATAATCCACACTGTGTTTACTTATCTGCTGAATCCTAGAATGTACAAAACTGCTTGAGAATTGCAATCCATTCCTCTGCAAAAAAAGAACTCTACAAATTAGAGTTTAATATTTGTTTAGAGTACTTTTTGTCTTTAGGGTGAGGTCATATAGTCCAAATGCTATGTTCAGAAGTTAATTGGGTTAATTTTTTTTTAACCCTCACTTTTTGGTGTGGTTATCTTATTCATTTGAAATTCAGTTTGGTTTGTTGGTTTCTTTTAGTATGCATTTTTAGGGATTTTCTTCATCTTAATGAATTTTATTTATTCCCTTCCTCCCTCTCTCCCTTCCTGTCTTTCTCGTATATGTCAAACCTTAACATGGTTCCAAATATACCTGCACAAAAAGGTATATTCACAGAGGTGTTACCCCCTCCCCCATTCCCTCTGTCCTTTCCACTCAGTTCCTGACTACACCCTGTAGATACCTGATCTCGTTAGTCTCTGATTTCTCTTCCCTGTGTTTCTTTTTGCACAGATGATCTGATGCATGTATATTTTCTCATGAAGTATTTCTCTCCTTTTCTGGAGGGTGGTATATTACAGATACTCTTTTTGCACTTTGTTCTTGTCGTTAAACGGTATGTCTGAGAAATCCCTCCATGAGTTCATGGAGATCTCCCTCATTATTTTTAACGTCTTCATGGTGCTCCTATGTGTGATATAGCATACTTTATTCAGCCACTCTCCTACACGGGCGTTTAGGTCAGTTCCAATACTTTACAAGCAATGCAGTGAGTAGCCCTGTACGTATGTAGTTTTTGGGGTGTATCTTCAGGATAAATTCCTAGAAGTGAGACTGCTGGTTCAAAATGGAAACACATATGTAGTTTTGGTAGATATTGTCAAATTCCTGTCCCCGAGGGTTATCCCAGCTTACATGCCCCCAGCACTCTGCGAGAGTGCCTATTTTCCCTCAGCCTCACCAGCAGCATGTGTTGTTAGGGCTTTTCATATTTGTGGCTCTATGGCTATTTCAGTATATTTTTAACTTGTCTTTTTATGAGATTGACTAACTTTTCATATGTTTAAGGGCCATGTTTATATCTTTTTTTATAAATTGTCTGTTTATGTGTTTTTCCCATTTTCTCTAGAGTTTCGATCTTTTTATCACCTCAGTTTTTGTGATTTCTTTATGTATTAGGAGCCCTTTGTACTTACATTTTTCTTCCAGTTTTTCAGTTCTTACTTGACTTTGTTTATGGTGCTTTTTAACCATAAAAAACAGGGAGAGGGGCCAGCCAGTGGTGTAGTGGTTAAGTTCGTGTGCTCTGCTTCGGCGTCGCAGGGTTCACAGGTTCGGATCCTGGGCGTGGACCTAGCACTGCTCGTCAAGCCATGCCGTAGCAGCATCCCACATAAAATAGAGGAAGATAGGGATAGATGGTAGCTCAGTGACAATCTTTCTCACACACACACACACACAAAACCAAAAAACAAACAAAAAAAAGAAGTTGTTTTTAAAATTTTTATTTTAATGTAGTAAAATTTATCATTCCTTTTTCTTTTATTGCGTATGGATTTTGAGTCATAGTTAAAAAGCCTTTCTCTACACTCAGGTTAAAGAGGAATTCACCTATATATTTTTTCTAGTACTTATATCAAATCTGCCAGGTATCTTAGGTTATTTTCACTTTTCAAGGAAAGACCTTTCTCCAAGTAAGGCTGTAAGTTTCAAGTACTGTTCATTAATCTGTGTACCCTTCAGATCGTAATCATTTTTTTCTCTCTCAGAACCTCTACTGAGGTTTTTAAGTAACTTTTTTCCCCCAAAAATACTTTCCTTAAGTTTTATCACAGTAGGTTATTTTTAAGTGACTCTTCACGTACCTGGTTACATAATCAGACTTTGTTGTGAGACTGAGGAGGCATCTCCAAGAACAAGACGTCCCAGCACAGGCTCCGTTGAGTTTGTGGCACCGATTCTCCTAGGGCTGTTTGCCTGTCGTTGTCAGGTCCAAAGCCGCAGAGTCGTTTCCTCCCTTTGACCTAGTAACCCCAGAACAGATAATTTAGCCTAAGGAAATAATTTAAAAGAGACAAAACTAAAGGCATGGAGATATTAACTGAAGTAATATTTCTACTAGTGGAAAACTGGAACTATCTAAATGTTTAATAATAATGTTTCTAGTTAGGTTAAGCGTGAAAAGGCCATTCATTGGCTTCTGGAAAATGTAATCATGAAAACCTTGGGAATATGGAAACATGCCTATGTTTAAGTGAAAAACAAAACAAAACTTGTGTCTGTTATGATTATAAATGACAAAAATTTAAGCCTGCATAAGAAAGTGTAAATGGACTGTTTAAAGCAAGATGCACTTAGGTGCAGGATAAAAGATGTGGTCCAAGCAGCAGATGAGAAATCTCCGGGAGTCTTGAAGAAGTGTTGTCCATAGGTTAGGTCCTGTGGCGCATCTGTGGAGCAGTTCTAGGAATGCTCCTAATGAATTGTATTGGTCACTTGCTGCAACCTGACATTTTGAAACAGGACAGAGTCCACAACTGGGCAGTGGAGGAACTTACTGATTCTACTTGAAGCTTTCTAGGTTGACTTTTAGAGGAGGGTCCCAGTATGCTATTATATTACTAAACAGAAGGATAATACTCTGGGACTGGGTGATTGTAAGATAGAACCAGGGGTACTGATGAATTCAAGGGTGTATGAGAGTCACCGATTCTATCAGTAAACAGAAAGTCACCTCTTAGCACTAATAATTGTGTGGGCGAAATTTTAGAAACTTGATTACAGACATATACCAACTATGCAATATGTTATTTTTCTAATGTGTGCTTGCTTTTATTTGTTTTTTAAAGAACCAGCTGCAGTTTAATAGGAATGTTCCTACACATCCAAGCAACTTGGCAGTCCGATATTCTTGCCCACATGCAATTAGAATTGAAAAACTGAAGCACACATACAATGAGTCATACCGTTGTAAAGATTTGGATTTTAGAAACGGTCCTGACCTAAGCAGTTCTGTTTCATTTTCTGTCATATCAGAAGAGAGACTTAGCTATGCTGTCCACCTAGCCAAAAGAGATGTGAAACGAAGACAGTTTGAAGAACATATAAAAGAACATCATCTCAGAAGTCATCCCCAGATCGCTCAGAAATGTGGTCACCCTAAGCATAAAATATGTGACCATAGGATGGAGAGGAAGGAATCAAAGAGTCAGGAAGTCTGTCGTTGCAGCCACCAGCCGTCCAAGGTAGAAATTTCCAGCTCAGGTGCCAAGGTATACCTGTACACATCTCATCCAGGACAGTCAGATCTGACCATGCCAAATTCACCACCTGCCCATGATCCAGGACTTCAGCCACATGCCAGGACAGGTGACCACAAGAGCCTATGTGAACACAAAAGCCTGTTAGAAGTTCAGCGACTCCGGAAAGAATTGAGCAATTGTATCCATAAAATTGAAGAAACAACTAAAAAAGGTGAGGAAAATTGGATTCTTCACTTTGAAGAGATGCCATGAGAGTGAGATAATTCAAATACATTCCTTTGGGACCCTACCACCCATCACATTCCATTGCCTCCTTCTGTCACTGGAGTGAATACTCGTGACAAGCAAGTGGACCTTGAGTTTGACGGATGTCTTTTTTCCTGAAGAGTTTGCCCTGCTCTAGCTCCTCTTTCCAGCAGAGGTACATGAAATAGCTCCTTTTTTGTAGGCTGCACTTGGTAAGTTGAGTGACTGAGGGCCCAGTCTAGGAGTTGGGGCACCTGCTGTCTGAACCGTAGGTCTTCTGGCCCTTGACTGCACGTTATCCTGTCATGTTTTGCTTCTTTATCCAGAAGCCCTTCTGGCAAAATTATTTTTAATTTGTTCAAAGAGGAGCATCTTATATGTATATTGTACAGAAAACCACTTCTGACTTAGTGTTTAGATGAGTACACAGCAGTGACAAGGAAAGTTGTGGTATATGTGTAAAATATCTGACCACAGGGTAGAAAGGAAGCTGTATGATCATCGTGTACTGTGCTCTACAATTCTTCAGTGTTCTCTGTGCCCTTGTGCTTCCCCGAGGAGTGGAAGATTGATTCCACATGGAGAATTTGGGGTGACCACGGCTAACAAGTAGGGGAATTGAGCCAAGTGTTCACACTGCAAGGAATAGAGAGCATCAAAAGAACTTCTATGCTAGGATAGTCCGTAGTCTATAATGATTTTTTGCATTTTAAAATTAATTAATATATGCATATGTACATATATGCATGTTATGTAAGGAATGTAAAGTGCCTTACAAAAACACTTGTGATTAACAACATAGAACAAAAATATGTAAATGAGGATATTTTGGCATGGGAAAAAATAAGGAAAGGAAAAATAAGATAGATTACAAAGGAGTTACAGATTTATTTCTGAGCTTCCTCATAGCCAGCTAAAGAGGAAAACGTGATCAGTTGCAGAATTTACAGTCTAAAATAGGAGAAACAGTTAATCCATATGTCAAGGCTGGAAAGAAATTTCTCCCGGGGGTCTTCCTAAAGAGTATGTTGTGTAATATGAGCAATTCAAAAACATTCCTACGTCAGAACAGCAGCAGTGTCATGGCTCGTCCCAGTCCTCAGTGTCGGTCTGTGGCATGACCCCCACGCATACTGTGGTAGAAGCCGCGCTACAGGGGAACACAGCCCCGAGGCCCACTGCTCAGCAATGTGGCCCAGGGCAGGGGGCCCTTTGAGCAGAGCTCCTCAAACTCTCTGTGGGGAAGGACTGCATCGAGTGAGGTTTTTTAGTTAAAATTTTCAATCTGTCAAAATCAGTACTTTGTAAACTATAATAAAAAGGTCACGACCATGGCAAATTGCTATAAAAACCTTAAATGCATACTTTCAATTTCTGTACTTACCTTGTCATGCACTGGTAATAGTTGTGATGGCCTCTGTCTGCAGGGGCACATACATATGGTGACAGATGAAAATTAGACTGTTGGTGGTGAGCACGATGCAGTCTATACAGAAACTGATAAATGATAACGTACACCTGTAATTTCATAGTGTTATAAACTGTTAGGACTACAATAAAATCATTATTAAAACATACACTTTTACTAATAAAATATTGCTTTTATCTGACTTGTATATTGGAGTTTTGCATAAGAATTTGTTTTGTGTAAACATGTTTGAAAACCACTGACTAGAAGGAATGGGTAGACTGCATATCCCTCAGGCAATCTTCCGGAAACAATTTCTTTAAACCAGTCTTTTGAGAATGTGGAGTACCAGTGTGTACGAGAGTGTGCTTCCTGACAAACGTATGAAGACTTCAGACGTTCAAATAATTTTGGCACTTGCTATCTTAATATGTTGGAGAAAGGGTTTCTCTTTTGGATTCAAGATAAGAAAGTAAAAGAAATCTTGCTAAACATAAAATTAGGCTAATAAAAGGTTTTTAAGAAAATAGCTTTACAGATTTTGGCTCAATATAAAGAATTTAACAATAGTAAAAGATGGTTGACAGTGGAGTAGATTGTCCAGTGGGATTTGGTTCAGGGAATTCCTGCGTGGAGGGAGCTTGGAGTTAGTGTCTTCGTGTCTCTTGCATCCCTGAGTCTGTACACAGGCCCACACAATCCTGGTTTCTTGGCTGATGAAAAATGAAATCTTTTGCTACGACAGCCTGGTTTTTTTCCTTACTAAAACTACAGATCTTCAACTTTGTTTATCTCTTTGAATAATTGAAATTTTTGTAAGTTTTTATATAAAGTTTATAATCCACTTCTGGGGAAAAACATATTTTCAGATCGGATGGAAGGAACTTTAGATCCAGATGAAGAACGGCGAATCCGAGTCAGGAGGCAGGAGCAAGCTGTTTGTTTTGCCCGGATGCTCTACGTCCTCCAGCAGCAGGTATGGGAAGCCTAGGGAGGAGTGGGACATTCAGCCTTGGGTATTGCCTTCTCCGAGAATTTCAGTTTTCCTTCTGACTCAGGAATATTAGCACCAAAGTGTCCTACCTGAATTCTAATGCTTTTGTGAGGCTAAATTTCCTGAACGCATGGACAAATAATTCTTTTTCTTTTTGTCCTCTGCCTTTATGTTTGTGTTTTATGTATATATGGCCAAGCTCCTTAAATAGTGATTTTTGACTTTTTGTGGTCATAGATTCTTGAGAATCTACTAAAAGCCGTGGGTCCTTTTCCCAGAAAAGATGCTTATATAGCACATCTTTTTCAGGTGAAGTCAGATGGATGTTTCCCTGACACCCTTGGTCCCCAGTTGTGCACCTGAGTCTCAGAGGAGAGGGAGGGACCTTGTTAGTTTCTCTTCTGCCTCATGTTTATAATGTACAAGAAGCTTAGTACATAGTAAATAAGTTGTTTTTATTAAATGGTAAAGAATGAAGACTGTGTTAAGTGTCTTTCAGGACACATTTAGTGGCTGATAAATAGGCATTTACATTCTTTACGTTGTGGATAGATTTTTAAAAATGTTTTAACTTTAATGTCTTACTCATTATGCCTTTAGCTCATTTCTGTTCACTTACTGCTTGAACCGAAAACTGGACTTTTGCATTTAAAAGATAGTGCCTGAGTTCGATTTTGTTCTACATTTTTGGGGGGTTTAGTTTACACTGCTGCCGTAGAGATTGTTCTAAAACACAAATCTTACCCTGTCAGACGTCTGCTTAAAAGACTTAATGGCTCTCTGTGACTTAAAGGATAAAAGCTAAGTTCTTTAGCATGGCGCTGAAGACTTCATGATCTGGCCCTCCTACCTTTCCAGAGTCACCTCCACCTTCGCTCCTTCATGTTAAATTCCTATTACATTGGGGACCAAGGGATGGAAGGTGAGCACTGTGCTCTATTCACCATCTTGAACTGGAAACCAGTATCTATTTTTTGTGTGCATGAATGAAGAGCCTTGTCTCATTTTCAAGTGACTTGAATTAATAATGGTTATATTTGGACAAGACAAGATGTATCCTTTTCTACAAAAAAGATCGGTGGAAAGGTACGAAGTTTTCATTTTTCCCCCTTTACAAAACAGGTTAAAGAAATCCAGGAAGAATTGGATAAATTGAGTCCACATAAAATTAAACACACTAAGAAGGTATGATGCAATTCAATTATGATTAATACTTATTATTTATAAGTTACATTTCCACTGTTTTGTTAGTATCGTGTGTGGGTTCTCTGCACTAATATTATTTTCAGTGCTTGTAGAAACCTGTTAGTGAGGGAGCGAGCACCTTAAATATTTTGAATTTGGGGTCACCTTCTAAGGAACAGGTTCTGAGAATAGATTTTTGTTGTTGTTGCTGCTGGTGTGCGAAAGTGAGTGGAAGAAGAAAAAGACTTTGTCATTAGAAAACCTTTAAACTTTACAATTCCCTTTACTCTGAAAAAGTTTTCACGATAGAAGTAGTTCTTAGATAGAAAGAAGATAGACTAAATATTCTTAAGGATTGGGTTAATGTTAAGAAGTTCTAAATATTGAAATAACTTCTCACATCTGATTTATTGCCAGTCGTGGGCAGTGTCCCGGCTGGCAGCTGCCCATAGAGGAGCCATTCGGGCCTTACAGATGTTTGTCACTCAGTTCACCGACCGAGGGGAGCACCCAGTCCCTGCTCGGTGTAGGGAACTGGGCAGTCTCATTCGCCAGCTTTCACTCTGCTCTGCCAAGATGGATGCTGATTCTTTTGTCCCTGATGTGGTTATAGATATCCTGCGACAAATTGAGGTATGAAACTGACTCCAATTTTTGTTGAAAGTGCGCTGTTTCTAAGCAGGAAGGTAATGTTTACCATTGCCTGTTTCATTGGAATTCATGGAGAATACAAGACAAAGCTGCTACCTAGTAAATTAAAGCTTCGCAGAGGGCAGAAGCAGCACTTCATTTTTATTTTATTGTTTTTACAGTCTAATCTATAATATTGTATTTCACTTCTTTGAGAATTGGTGACGTGGGTCTAGAACATGTGACAGCTCTTCACCAGGTCTGTTGATTGAATAGGATGCTCCATTCCCTGACATGCCGTTTAATGAAGAATTTATTAGCATAGAAAAGGAAAGCAGTAGAGCACTCTTAGATTAGTGCTTAGATTAGAATGTTTGTGTAATCTGGATAGATTTTTGAAAATAAGCACTTAAAGACACGGAAACAGAGCCTCAAGTCTTGTGACGTGGCTAGAGACTTCTGGAAGTCACAACTGGCACGTACTAGTCAGGAATGGATAGTGTTCTTAGTTCTCATTGGTGACAAAGACAACAAGAACAATGTGCCCTTAAATCTTTATGGTTCTCTGAAGTTTGCAGAGTGCTGCCACATAATTCTCCATTTCATCCTTACTGCAGCGCTGTGGTTTGTAGTAGGTTTTATTACTGCTATTTTACAGATTTAAAAAAAAAAGCGAACATCAGAGAGATGACACGGTTACTTCTCTTGAGAGCTGAGAATCAGATTCCTCTCTCTGACTCCCGTGCCAGTGTTATTTCCTCTACACCACACGTTTTCATCCCAGATAAAAAGACAGCTTCTGTGTTAGTGTGACATAGTAAGCTGTTCGCTGTGGAGGAAAGGTGGTGTAGTGGGGAGAATTCTGGACTACCATGCCAGTTCTACCATGAACTAGCCCTGTGTGGTCCTAGGGCCCCTTCTGCCTTTACAGTTCCGTTATCCAGCAGATAGGTTTGTGATTTGTATTGGTTACATTTGTGTATATATAACTCACTATCAGGAATGTTATTGTCAAATGCAGACCTTTAGACGGCATATCAAGTTGTGATATTTTTAAACTTACCATAGGAAACATTTACTGGCTGAAGTGATTTCATTTGGAGAACATATCTTCATAATCCTAGAAAGGATCTCAAGAGATTCTCTAGTCCCTTTCCCAAATTTTGAGCAAAAGTACCCTAACATAATGTTTCTTAAACATAATGTCTGTCTCCTCTACTTTTGAAAATATTCAGTAGTGCAAGAAATTTATTCTTTATTGTTGCTGTATTAAACCATTCCACGGCTTATTATTTTGTTATTGCCTTACTGTCATCTGAACTAAATCTCCCTGGCTATGTTCAGTTGTCCTTAATTTGTACTGACCAGCTGGAGACTAAGGTACTCAGAGCCCAGTAATGAATGAGTGGGTACTTATTAGAGGGTGTCCCTCTTTCATGAAGGGGGAACACAGATCTCCTGCCATTGAGTGACCAAAGCTGCTGGACCTGCTAAGTTTTATTCAGTTTATGAAAATTAATGTTACATGGAGTCTCTTTGCCCACTTAAAATACTACTTGAGTTTATGACGTTTTCTTTGAGGATTAAAATACTTTGAAAGCATATAGGATTATATTCTGAAGACTAGTTAATTTCTGAAATGGTGATCCTTAATTTTAGAATTTAGATGCCTTTAAAAGCAGTCATATTCTTTATCTCTTTGCTATTGGTTTTAGTGAGCTAAACATGTAAAAGAACGTGCAGAATTTCTTTTATTAATTGTATGTCCTAAATAGTGAAGTTTTTAAATTAAGTTGAACAACTTTTTGTTAGCCATTAGAGATGGCCATTTAATAACACGTTTCTCTGGAGTCCTCATTTTCAGTTTTGTGATTAAAGGTCAGACTTTTGTGAGAGAAAGAGAATAATTGACTGTTTCATGGCAGGCTTTGGAATCCCTCCTAGAAAAGAAACTGTCACCAAAAAAGGCGAAGAAATGTTTCACTGAAATTGGGAGCAGATTTCCTGTTGGTAGCCAGAGGACCTTGGAGAGATGGCCAAGTACATCACCAAAGAGCGAGAGGAGACCCTTTGTCGCAAAGGAGATAATTCCACAGGAAACAAGACAACCTTCATTGGCAAAGAAGCTTCTTGCTGGTATGTGCCGTCAAGTGTTTATTGCAAATATTTTATTCTTTGAGATTTTCTGGACTATAACAGTTGCTGCCCTGAGGGGAAAGCGAGGATTTAAAACCTCGTCCACAATAGGCGCATTTGACCTAGGACAAGTGCACAGCAACCACGGTGCTTCCTTAGACTGGAGGCTGGAGTACTCTTCCACAGGGGAGGGTGGACAAAGTACATCATAACATTTGGGCTACCCAAAGTAAATTCCTACAGAGCTGGAAGTTAGAGCCCTACTTTTTTTTTTCAAGTTTATTTACATTTCAGTGATAGATATGTACACATACACACAAATTTGATACGTATGCATTTTTTTACATAGGTGATAAATTCTTGTCTTTCCAAGAAGTAGAATTGCTAGATTATGTGGTGTGCACATTTAAACAGACACTGCCAACTTGCCTTTGAAAATGGGCATATAATTATGTTTAGACTAGCAGTGACCGTCAGTGATCATCAGTGTGTATTTCCCTATGTCCGTGCCAAGTACTTGGTGTAAGGAAATGTTTTAAAATTTCCTAGTCTCTGGGTGGAAAATGGTGTCTTACTGTTTTATATTGCATTTCCCTGATTCCTAATGAGGAAGATTATTGTTTCTTTCACGTATGCCTTAGCCCTGTGTGTTTCCCCTTCTGTGATTGGTCTGTTCACATCCCTTGTCATCGCCCCACTGGGTTCTATGTGTTTAGCTTATGGATGTATAGAAATTCTTTATATGTTCTGGATCTTGATCCTTTTTTGGTTTACATATATTGCAAATATTTTCTTAGTCATTTTTGCGATTTGTTTATGATATCTTTTCTGGTACGGAAAATTTTAATTTTGTAGGCAAAATCATCATTCTTACTTAGATAATCTAATATTTCATGAGGCCATTCTTCCCTCTCTGTTCTTTTTCAAAATTTTTCTGATGGTGATTGCTTATCTTCAGAGGAATTTAGAATGAGCTTGTCAAGTTCTGTGAAGAGTGCTGTTGGGATTTTGGTTGGTATTACATTGAGTTCATAGGTTAGGGTAGAAATGACATCTTTATGATATGAAGTCATCCCATTGATTTATTCTTGCCCTTTTTCCATCCCTTCAGTTGAATTTTGTACTTTCTGCATATAAGAATTCCTGACAGAGGAATACAAAGGAATTCCTAAATTCCTTTGTTATGTTTATTTCTAGTTTTCCTGTTTTATAGTTTTTATTGCTGTTGTGAATGGGATCTTTTTCATTAACATTTTGAAGGTGGTTATTGCTACCTCTAGGAGGGCTGTTGGATTTGTACATTGCTCTTACATCGGGCACCTTGCTGAAATCTTTTATTATGATACTTTATTTCATTGGTTCTAAGGTATATATTTGAACATTTCTGAAATTTGGATGCATTCTTAAATTGATGATCTTGAATTGAATTGAGTTGATTCTTAAATTAATTGGCAATATTTAATAATTTCCTATTGGTGCATAAGATAATGATGTGTCTTGATGTTTTAGGTTTGATGAAATATGAGATTTTGTTGGTTAATTCTTTTTTATTTTCCCAGATAGATGAGATCACCTACAAATAAGTAAAGTTTTGCCTCTCTCTGCAATTTTTATACCTTTTCTTTTTCCTCTTTCTGCTTTATTGAATGGATTTTAATTCAGAATAATATTGAATAATAGCTGTAATGGTGGACACTTTCCTACAGATTTAATGGTAATGCTTCTTTATATATGACACTTACTCTTGATTTTTTGGCAGATCTGCATATAAGGTTAAGGAAATTTTCTTCTGTTCCTGTTTTGCTAAGAGATTTTCTTTTCCTATTCTTTTTTCTTTTTCTTAGTTAAACTGATAGGATATACGTTGATGGTGGTTTAACATATTTTAATATTTTAATACTGAATTTTTAAATATGCCATTCATATCAGAGTATGGACAAATTCAGTAAATAGTTTTCCTTTTTTAATTGAAGTGGAATATGTGGATAGAAAAGTGCACAAATATAAATTTACAGCTCAGTTAATTATCAGAAAACAAACATTTGTATAATCACTATCCAAGTCAAGAGAGAAAACATTAACGAGCACTGAGAAACCCCCCTGCACCCCCCCTCCCAGTCTCTATCCCCTGCCTCCTCCCCCAAGTTACTTGGATTTTTACTGCCATGCTTTGGTTTTGCCTGATTTGGAACTTGATGAAATTAGAGTTACACACTAAGTATTTTCTTTGGATTGGCTTCTTTAACTTGACACTTTGTGCCATTCATCTGTTGTTTGTGTAGCTGTGATTTGTTTGCGTTCATTACTGTCTTCTATTGTGTGAATATATCACAATTTGTTTCTCTGTTTTGTTTTAATCACTGGGTTGTTTCCAGTTTGGGGCAATTATTAAGAATACTACTGTGATTGGTCTTATATCCATCTCTTGGTACACCTGTGTGCCTGTGTGTCTGTTGGGTATATTCTCACGAGTGGAATTGTCAGGTCATAGGGTATGTGTTTGTTCAACTGTAACAGATGAAAATTCTTTTTCAAAGTGGTTTTATTATTTTATATTCCAACCAAAAGTATATGAGAACAGCCACTACACATCCTTGTCAGCACTTGTTATCATTAGTTTTTTACATTTTAGCTGCCTGGTTGGTGTGTAAGGCTGTCATTGTGATTTTAATTTATGTTTGCTGAATGAGTAATGATGTGAGTACTTTTTCATATATTTTTGGGCCATTTACTTGTCTTTTGTGAAGGTGAAGTCTCTTGCCTGCTCCTCCTCTCTCTCTCTCATTTTTTCTTTTTCTCTTCCTTCCTTTCTCTCACTCCTTTCTTTTTTATTGATTTGTAGTTCTTTGTAAGAGTATTCTGCATATGAACCCGTTCTCAGTTATTTGTGTTATAAATGTCTTCTTAGAAATAAGATGTGGCTTGCTTTTAAATGCTACAGTGGTGTCTTTTGATGAACAGAATTCTTAATTTCACTGTAGTCCAATGTAGCAATCTTTTCCTCTGTAGTTTTTGTTTGTTTGTTTTTGTATCCTGTTTAAGCAGCTTTCCCTGTGCTAAAGTTAAGAAGACGTTTTCCTATATTATTTCCCAGAAAAGTTTCATTTTCTTACAGGTGGATATCCGTTTGAGCTAGCATTATTTGTTGAAAAGAGTACTCTTCCCCAGAGTGGCGTACAGTGCCACTTTTGTTATAAATTGTGTCCGCATATGTGTGGGTCAATTTCTGGGCCCTCTGTTCTTTTCTATTGATCTAATTGGTGGCTCTTATGCTAGTGTATGCTATCTTAATTATTCTAAGTCTTGATGTCCAGGAGGACAGCTTTTGCCACCTTTTCTTGCAGAATGTCTTGGCGAATCCTGGCCCTTGGTATTTCCATAGACATTTTAGAATCAGAATTTGTCAATTTCCATCAGCCCACCCCCCCCCACCCCCGAAAACAGCAGCGACAACAAAAAACAATCTATTGGAATTTTGATGAGCAATTGGCATCTTTACAATATTGAATTTCCCAATCCACAAACAGAAAAACACAAAAATCCACTCCATTTATTTAGGTTGTCTTTAAATACTCTGAGTAATTTATTGTGTGTGTGTGTGTGTGTGTGTGTGTGTCTGTATGTATGTGTATGGTTTTGTTCCTCTTTCATTAGGTTTATATTTATTCCTTGGTATTGCTATTTTATATGCTCTTGTAAATGATGTCTTTTAAAAACATTTAATTTCTAATGTATATTGCTGATACTTAGACATAGAGTTGATTTTATGTATTGATCTTGTATCTAGCAACTTGCTAAGCTAATTTATTTGTAATAATTTATCTGTAGCTTGTTTGTGTTTTGCTATGTATATAATCATATCATCTATGAATAACCATTGGTTTATTTCCTCCTGTCCAATCTTTATTCCTTTTATTTCTTTTTCTTCTGTAGTTTTCTGGTTTTATTTACTTGATCTGTAGATGACTGATATAAAGGTATGTTAAAATCTCTTGTGATACTTGAGACTATTAATTTCTCATTTTGTTTCTATTCATTTTTATTTTGTATATTTTGAAGTTGTGCTGTTAGATGCATGGGAGTTCCTGTTAAATCTTTTCGATGGATTTTATATGTTATTATTATTAAGTATCTCTCTGTCTTTTTTAACGTCACTCACTTTACATTCTGTTTTATCTGATACTAATATTGTTTTATCTGCCTAACTTATTTGGCATTTACCTAGAATAACATTTTCCATCCTTCTGTGTTCAATCTTTCTTTGCTGTTTTTTTTTTGAGGACACCAGCCCTGAGCTAACTACAGCCAATCCTCCTCTTTTTGCTGAGGAAGACTGGCCCTGAGCTAACATCCATGCCCATCTTCCTCTACTTTATACCTGGGATGCCTACCACAGCATGGCCTTTGCCAAGCTGTGCCATGTCCACACCTAGGATCCGAACGGGTGAGCCCTGGGCCACCAAGAAGTGGAATGTACGCACTTAACTGCTGTGCCACCGGGCCAGCCCCTTTCTTTGCTGTTTTAAGAGTACTCTTTGTAAATAGTTTACTGTTGGTGTTTTTAACCCTGTTGTAGATTTCTACATTTAACCTGCTTACGTTTACTGAGATTAATGACACGTTTGATCTTCTTTCCACTTTACTTTATGGTTTTCATTTGCCAGGGTTTTTTTCCTTTGTTGTAATTTACTCCAGTAATCAAGTTTTTCTTGTTTCATTTTGTTTCCTCTACTGATTTGAAAGTTGCGTATCAGTCTGGTTTTTATTTGATTTATTTCTCAGTCTGCCACTAATTCTGTGGAACCTTCATAGCTTACTGTACCACCTCTAACGTGAATGTAACAAAACCTAATTTATGCACTTACTGTTCGATAGTTATTCACTATAATGTGATATTCTCTTCCCTTTGCTGGTAGCAGGTAGAACTAATATAGTCTCTTCCTTTTAACCAGAGTCTGCTTTTGCCAGCCTTTCCCTTCAGGACAAGTATCGTGTCTACTTGCAGTCACGTCTTCTGTGACTAGCCCCGTGTCTGGCCCATAGGCACTTAGGTGAGAGACTCTGTGCGGAAGTGTAATTGAATAAGAAAAGGCTTCTGAGCAGCAATCACAGAACTTGAGTTCTGGCTGTTGGGGGCTCACTTGTGAAACTCTGGAGGAAGTGTGGAGAACTTTCCAGGCCTCTACACAGAGATGTGTTTCCTAAATGAGTTAGAAAATTAGGACAAGCTTCAGAGAGAGAATTTGGAAAACCTGCTGATCTAAAGCTCACCATATGAACAAATTTGGGAAAGCAGGCAGACAGACCACCAGCAGGAAAACGTAGACTGAAAAGACCCCGCTTCTAGTCCCACTTCTGTCATTTTGTGACCTGGCTTGATGGCTTAATCTCTCTGAACCTTAATTTTTTCATCTGTGAAATTGGGATAATAGTCCTTATCCTATGTGACTGGCTTAGTTGTTGTAAATAGCAAATTAGATAATTACTAAGTGCTATAAAGATGTAAGATGTTTTTAGTTCATCATAATAATCTCAAGTTATTAAGAAAAGATTCTATTATGTTATGCGTATTCTAACTGAAGGAAAAAATCTTTGGTAGCCATTTAAAAATGAGTTTTGTCAGGGCCGGCCCCGTGGCTGAGTGGTTAAGTTCGTGCACTCCAATGCAGCGGCCCAGGGTTTCTCTGGTTCAGATCCTGGGCGCGGATGTGGCACCGTTCATCAAGCCATGCTGAGGCGGCATCCCACTTGCCACAACTAGAAGGACCCACAACTAAAAATACACAACTGTGTACTGGGGGCTTTGGGGGGAAAAAGGAAAAATAAAATCTTTAAAAATGAGTTTTGTCTATTTTTAAAATAATAAAGCTGCGAGGTCATGAAGTAAGCAGGCTTCAGGTATCTGGAAAATGTGTTTATGCTGAACAGCTCCACAGTCCCCGACGGGCTCGGGCCCAGCCCTGGGTCGAGAGAAGACGTGGCTCTGCCGCTGCTGGCTCTACTTGTGACCTTGAGTAAAATGCTCAGCTGTCATTTCCTCATCTGAAAAGTGTAGTGATCACTGTCCACTCTGCGTGTCTGCTGAGGTTCAAATGTGAATGTGAATTACGTTATAAACTAAAAAAGTCTTGTGCAGATGTAAGAGATAATCATCATCTTTATTACACATTGGGGCGTGGTTATAGTTAGCCCCTTTGCAGATTTATTACATTTCCTCATGGGGAAGGATGTGGTAGCTCTCATTTTTATTTATTTGTGTTTTTCTTCTTGTCCTTATAGCTGGATTTCAGAAAGTTACGTTTTCTGTTTCTGTTTTAGATATCACTCTACCAAAGTCGTCCATTCTGCCTTCCTAAGGTCTTCTCGTCCCTACCTAACCCTCACCCCCAGAAAGCCGTAGGGAGCCCTTGGGGGTGGAACGCTCTCTGCCCTTTGCAGCGGGGATGCATATGTGAGCCTGAGTTGCTCTCGTGATTGATGTCATTGTTGGCTGGTGCAGTTCTTGAGTGGCTTCAGAAATGTTCTTGCAATGGTTGATTGCATTAGAACAACTTGTCAGATGGAAGGATGGTGTCCCTCCCCACTACCAGCAGTGTCCTCAAACTCAGCTGCCCCTGGAACTGGTGCTGCATTTGCATGTTGATCTCTGTAAATAAACCATAACTGAAAAGGCATCAGGACCTGGAGGTCAGAGTTGCTTCGCTGTGTGTAAACTTGGGGTTTAATAAGTAATTTATAGACCAAGGATTTAGTCTTAGCATTCTTTCCTTCTGGCTTATAGTTCCTTGCTATGTGACTTCCATGGCCTTGAAAAGTACCAGATTAAAGAAGGGATGTGGGGGAATCTGGCCCTTGACCTACTGCTGTTAAAGTAGTCCAAATGGAGTTCTCCTTTTATTGTGAAATATTTAAAACATACAGAAAAAGAATGAAAATAATTAACACCTATGTATCTACTACCCAGATTTAACAAATTTTTACATTTTTGCTTTACTTGCTTCAGAATTTACTTTTAGAAATAAAGTATGACAGGTATGGCTGAAGTCCCTTTTAAATTTCTCTCCCCATCTATCTCCTTCCCTCCCTCATCAGAGGTTACTCTTGATGTTATTATAATGTGGACCTCTTCTGTTTTTATACTGGTAGTGCTTAGGTATCTGTGTGTGAACAGTACATTGTTTCATATGCTATACATTTCATGTAAATGATTATCTTACGGCATGTGTCATTCTGCAGTCTGCATTTTCAGACCCCACTTATGTGTGTAAGACCTGTTCATATTGATCTGTGAGTTCTGATTCACTAATGTAACTGCTGTATAGGTTTCCCTTTTATGAATATACCATAGTTTATTTTCAGTTCTTATCGAGGGGCATTTGGGTTATTTCCAATTTTTTGCTCTTACGAACGAACCATGATGAAGCGGGTATCCGTGCTTGTGTCTTCCCATGGATGCATGCGAGCGTTCCTCTAGACTGAGAGTGTACCTAGGAATGAACCATGACAAAGTGGGTATCTGTGCTTGTGTCTTCCCATGGATGCATGCGAGCATTCCTCTAGGCTGAGAGTGTACCTAGGAGTGAACCATGATGAAGTGAGTATCCGTGCTGGTGTCTTCCCATGGATGCATGCGGGCATTCCTCTAGGCTGCGAGTGTACCTAGGAGTGAACCGTGATGAAGTGAGTATCTGTGCTCGTGTCTTCCCATGGATGCGTGCGGGCGTTCCTCTAGGCTGCGGTGTACCTAGGAGTGAAACCGCCGGGCTGCGCGGTGGGCGAGTCTGCAGCTTCACTGCAGCAGTCGAGCTGCCCCTGCAGGCAGCTGGGCCGGTTTATTGCTGCACCAGTGTCTGGCGAGAGCACATGCTTTCCACGTCCTTGTTTGTTTATGCTTGGTATGGTCACATTGAAATTCCCCCCAATCTGATGAATGTGAAATGGTACCTCATTGTTTTAATTTGGATCTTTCTGATTACTGTGATCATCTTTTCATGTTTTTATTGACAGATTTTCTCTCTAAATTAGCAGTTTCTATCCTTTGCCTATTTCTCTATTGGATTGTTTATTTTTCTTGAAGATTTGTAGACATTCTCTAGATATTCTGGATTTTAATCCTATGTTAATTATATGCATTACAGATATCTACTTCCTGACTCTGGCTTGTCTGTTGACTTTATGGTGTCTTTTTATCAAAAGGAAATTGTAGTTCACTGTAACTAAATTTAAATACATTGGTATTATGTTCGAGTTTAAGAAAGCTTTTTCTGCCTTGATGTCATAATCGTATTCTCTTATATTTTCTTCTAAAAGCTTTAAAGTTTTTCTTTCACATTTAGATCTTCATTCTATTTAGAATTTAAGTGTTGTTCAGTGTGAGGCAAGGATCCTGTTTTGTTTGTTACCTGTGGATGCTGACGGTCCCAGCATGATTTATTGAGCAGTCCAGTCATACTCACTGATTTGTCATGTCACCTGTGTCATCTCCATCCTGCCTCGTTGGTTTCTGCCTGTTCCTGCCTCACTCCCACACTGCCCTAATTATTACAGCTTTATCCTGAGACTGTATCTCTGGTAGAATAAGACTCCATGGCTGCCCCACTCCCCACTTCATGGTGTTCTTCACAATTATTTGGGCTATCTTAGGATTGTACTCTTCATAAGAATTTTAGGATCTGTCTGTTTAGATCCACAAAAAAAATCTGTTGGGATTTTAATTGAAATTGCATTTGAAATTATAGATTACTTTGGGGAGAATTGACATCTTTACAGTATTCTTTTTGTTCATTAAAGCAATTACTCAGATCTTCTTTCATGTCCTTTAAAAATACCTTTGAATTTTTTTGTAAAGTCGTTTTTTTTTTTTAAAGATTGGCTCCGGAGCTAACATCTTTTGCCAATCTTTTTTGTTTTCTTCTTCTCCCCAAAGCCCCTCATTACGTAGTTGTGTATTCTAGGTGTGGTCCTTCTAGTTGTGGCATGTGGGACACCACCTCAGCATGGCCTGATGAGCAGTGCCGTGTCCACGCCCAGGATCCAAACTGGCAAAACCCCGGGCCACTGAAGCAAGCGCGTGAACTTAACCACTTGGCCACAGGGCCAGCCCCTCTGTAAAAGTCTTGTTCATCTTTCATTAGATTTCTCCCAAGTGCCATATGGTTTTTGTTGCCAATGTTAATGGGATATTCTTTTCTCTTATATTTTCTGTGGTTAGTTATTTTGATATGTGGGAATGGTATTAATGATTTTTGTGTATTTTTCTTCTTTTATCTAGAAACCTTTCTGAAGTCGTTTCTTAGTTGTAATTGTCTGTAGATTCTCTTGGGTTTTCTATATAGAAAACATGATCTCACCTTCCAATAAAGATAGTTTTCTTTCCTTTCGTATTGCAGGTTGAATGTCATGTATGGAGTTCAGACTTTATTCTCTATCAAATTAGGAGCCATCCAAGGTTTTGAGAAGTGACATTTAAATATTTACAGTTTAGAAGAACAGTTTTGGTAGCCAGCTGAAGGTGCGATTGAAGACAAGGGCTCAGTTAGGAGATGCCGTTATCACAGTCAGAGGATGAGGCAAGCCTGACCTTGGGTAGTGGCAGAGGGGAAGGAAGGGCAGAGGTAAGTGCAGGCGATGTTTTAGCGTTAGGATCAAGGGGCCAGGCAAGTGAGTGAACGCGGCAGATGAGAGTCAGGGAGTCGGCTGTGACGTTCAGTGGAGTCAGGGCATGAGGAGCAACCGTGGTGACAAAACCCCCCCGTTTTAGCAGGGCTTGGATAGATGTTTAGAGCGTATCGTCTGTAGATCATCATTCTCATCCCTTGATTTGAATAGCGTTTCCCTCCATTTGTCCTTCTGTAATCTCCGTGTAGATAAGTATCAACCTGAAAGAGAGCTTCCGGTGACCCAGAGGTTGGAGAGCGAGCTTGACGTATTAGATGCGGATGTACTTCCGGAAGAAGCTCCATCTATTCTAAACCAGAATGCAGGCTTCAGAGAGGAGACGTTAGCCTTGGGAAGAAGAAGAGCAGCAAAAAGTAAGCCTGTGACTGAGGCTGTGCCTGGTAGGAGGAAAGAGGCTCTGGCGCCAGCAAGACTGCAGCAAGTATGAAGTTGCTTCTTTCTTTTGGCCCATTTGTACTAATCTGACTTAGTCCAGGGTCACACAGGCTGGTACGCAGTGGAGCCAGGATTTGAGTTCTCAGACATTTGAATGCCAGAGCCTGTGAGTTCATCTCTCTAAACTAAGCTGACTGAGCTTGGCTCCAGACTGTGTTTATTTTTTAACAAAAAATAACATTTTAATATTGTTACTAGGACGGCGTTGTTTCTTGTCCTCTTTTGGTAAGGTCCTAACCAATTTGCTACCAAGGTTCTACTCAGGCAGGCTATTTTAAAATTCAGGTATTTTTCTGCTTCTGATTTGAAAATGTGAAATTTGAGGGGATTAAGATTTGGTTCCTGCTAAATATTGATAAATAATAATCACTCAATATTAAAAGGCATCCTAGGGTGAATATTTTCTAATATGGCTTTGGGAGCTAGCTTGCTTGAAACTACATCCTTTTTCTTTTTTTGGTGAGGAAGATACACCCTGAGCTAACATCTGTTGGCAGTCTCCTTCTTTTTTTTCTTTTGTTTTTCTTGAGGAAGATTAGCCCTGAGCTAACATCTGTGCCAGTTTTCCTCTATTTTGTATGTGGGTTGCCTCCATAGCATGGCTGATGAGTGGGATAGGTCCGCGCCTGTGATCTAAACCAGCAAACCTGGGCCACTGAAGCAGAGCACGCAGAACTTTAACTGCTCAGCCACAGGGCTGGCCCCAAAACTACATTATCTTTTGAGCTTCTATTTAAAATTTAACTTAAGGCCCTACCAGTGGAGAACTGACCGGAAGACCACCTCCTAGTCTAAATACCTTTAATATAGTTACTGCCGATTGATGGTGCTGTCGAGAGGCTTCTGTAGCAAACCTGAATATGGTCAGGTGACCCCAGAAAAAGGATATTTAACAGTTATTACCAGTTGCTAATAGATCATGGATTAGGATCAAGTCTTTATTCCTTTCCAAACAAATTCTTATGCAGGGCTATTGGGAAGTCAGGATTGAGCCTGTGTGAATTCAGCTTGGCGCTCTTCTCCAGAGACAGCCTTATTCTCTACAGCATTTTAAAATAGCCTGGTGCACTCTATTCAGATGGCATATGCCTTTCGACCTTCATCATCAAAATCCTCCTATGTTAGCCAATTTAATCTTCTAGAAGCTTGTGAGGAAATTCTCTCCCATTTTACAGATGGGAAACCTAAGACTCTGAGGAGTCAAGTATTTTAACTAAGAATGTTTTACAGTTTCCCTCTGTTTTGTTTTTGGTTTAATTAGGAAAAAATATAAAAATAAGTATAATATTTTTTATATATAGTTTATATATATATATATATATATCAAAAAAGATGGCAAAGCCAGGAATTCCAGTTTTACACCACCTCCCCACTTCTCCTCGCCAGGGTTGCTTCAGTGTAGTTTACACCCTCCCCCAAATTTCTGCCACAGTGCTTTACATTTAGGTTTTTGCTGAGTGGGTGCATGAATAGTATAGAGACACTTGAAGCTTCAGTAAGCCAGAGGTTAAAACCAGTTTCTTTGATATCCATTTGGCTTTATAATTCATATTTATCTCTTAAAGGGGCTCCACAAAGCTGAAAAAAGTAGATCAACCCAAGCTCACAGCAAAAGCAGGTTGCAACGGACAACAGTCTCATCCAGATTAAAAATGAACCAACAACCCGTGAAAGACCATAGGGCTCCTTGGATACCTCCACACCCCACCTCCCCACCGGCATCTCCCAAATGGTATGTCAAAATTCAAGGAACCATTTGGGTATGTCATTTTATTTTTCCTCCGCACATCAAACGTGATCTATTGCTTTAGCACAAATAAAGCAGCAGCCTTAGTTCTCATTAAGAAGAAACTTATTTGGGTGAGTAATGCATGAGAGGTTTTTGTCTAGAAGTCCGTTGGTTCCTTTTTCTTACCTGACTATGCGTAGAGTAACCTACCATGGGCCACCCTAACACCCTGGGGACATGTGTCACTGTATGAGGGTCATGGGCTTCCCTTCACTTGTCTCTTCACCCAGTAGATCCCAGCTGCTTGCGGCCAGGAACTGCGCCTTTCTCACACTGGAATGTTCAGTGCCTAGCACAGGGCCTGGCGCTTAGTAAATCTTAGGCATTAGGTAAATCTTTGCTGAAGGGCTGAATATTTAAAAATATTTCTAATTCCAAGTCAAGATAATTAGGAATTATAACACCATACACATTTCATAGCCACTGTCCTGACTTGAGGGGACAGTTAGGATAGTGCTGACTGTGCTGCCTTGTCGCCCTCATTCATAGCACATGGAGAATGAGGAGCCGCGCTTCCACTGAGCAAAGAGAAGGTGTTGTCCTCCAGGGGCAGCAGGCCTGAGGTGGAGAGAGCCTCTGAGGAACTGGTTAAAGATGAAGGGGAGCTTGTTTACCATGGGACAAGTGCGTAGTTCTTGAAAGCACATCGGAAAGAACCAGGAGGGAGGGCAGTAAGAAGCAGGCAGCAGAAAGCGGTCCGGTGGGAGGAGATGAGTGAGAAGACAGTGACTCGAGGGGCCCGCCTTTTGGGAGGCTGGAGGGGACAGGTGAGAAGCAGAATGAATTCCCCTTAAGACTCTGAATGATTCCGAATGAATCGTTCTGCTTATCCATCAGCCTTCCCTTCAGAGTTGAATAAACAATAGAGAACTTAATGTCTTGTTTGTATAGCAGAGCTGGGACTAAAATCAGGTCTTATGTTTTCATAATGTGCTTTCTTGTTTTTATTTCTCTGCTCTAGATTCTGTATTTTTATGTATGTGTTAGTATAGAGATGTGACTTCAGTTGGTAAGTTCATGAAAACATAAATTGGTTGAAGTTTATGTTGCAAACCAAGCATACAGTGGACTGTCTTTTACAGTGTATGTGTGGTGGGTGGGGGAGGGGAGCAGATAAGGCTTCCAGGTTCATAGTCCCATATTAGGCCTTATGAAGGCACAGTGTTGATGGGGCCAGCCCTGTGGCATAGTGATTAAGTTCAGTGTGCTCTGCTTCAGCGGCCCAGTTTTCAGGTTCAGATCCCAAGTGCAGACCTATGCCACTTGTCAGCCATGCTGTGGCGGCGACCCACATGTAAAAGTTGAGGAAGAATGGCACACCTGCTAGCTCATGGCTAATCATCCTCAAGCAAAAAAAGAGGAGGATTAGCAACAGATGTTAGTTCAGGGTTAATCTTCCTCAGCAGGAAAAAGAAAAAGGTACAGTGTTGCTTTGTAGTCTGGAATGTAGTGACCCAAATCTATATTATGGCAGGGTTTTGTTGAAATTTGCCCCTTGTTCTGTAATTGACGATTCCTCTTTCCTTTAAAATACTGACTGCTTCTGTGAAGCAAAGGAGGACTGCTGTCCTTTGACGGTGAGCCTGAATCCTGGAGGATCTCATTCTTCTTCCATTCAGGGCCCGGGCTGTAGATCACCATTGGTTCAATGCTCATCTTCTCTGAGCTGGCACCTTTTGGTGAGTCATTGGATGTGGAGTGAATGATTACAAAGGTACACTTTTCCGTTTTTTGCAGTGCTGCTTGGCGAAAGGTGAAATCTAGCCCCAAAGATGCTGCAAAAGAACAGTCTCTCCAGCAGGAAGACACTCAAGAGGAACGTCAGTTGAGAGGTGCTGTGGAGCACGAAGCAGCTAGGTTTGTACTGGTGTTTTTCAAATCTTTGAAAATTAGAGAGTCCCTTTCATATAGATTCTAAAGTGAACTCCGTCTTCTCTTATGTATAAAGTTGGTTATTTGAAATGTAAATTACTAAACTTTTCTGTCAAACTATGCAGCTTAGATAGTGAACACCTCTTTTATTCCTCCTTATGTCATTCGTTCAGAAATTATATGTATCAGTTGTGTACGAATTGCTTGTTTTGTATATGGTACAGTTGTGAGCTCTATGGAGACTTTTTTTAAAAAGGACAAAGAAGTCAGAATCCCAGCCCCTGCTTATTTAACGTCAGTAGGGAGACATGTCATTAATTATAGTTTAAGATAGAACATGATGTGTACCCTGAGAACTTGAGGGTTTAAGCACTGAGTTTAGAAGGGGACAGGGTGCTTCTTGCAGCACAGATCTGGGCTTCGTGGACAGAGATGGGAAATAGGACTTGAAGAACAGGCTTTAAATAGGGGGTGATGGGGTGAGACCATCCCATGAGAAGAGAGCAGTGAAAACAGGTCACTTTGCATTCGTTTGACTGAAATTGTTCTTGCAGTTATGGGAAAGCACAGATGATCGTGGGCCATTAAGTAACTGGATAATATTCACATATCTGAAACTGAAAGAGTCAGAGCCCTTCCACATACGGTAACATTGTTCAGAGTTGGCTTTTCCCGTCTGTTTTTGACTTCACTGTGCCTTATGGCTCTCCTGGAAGTTCATTTCTTTGTCTAAACTTGAAGATACAGCAACAGCTCTATTTTATAGCTGAACAAGAAATCCTAAGTACAGTGATGGCTGGTTTTCTTGAGAATGTTCGTGGGCAGTTTTTGTTCTACACACTAACTAGGAGTGTGTTTGCACATAAATATGTCTCTTTACCTATACCCTTCCATGGGGAGCTTGCTGGGTACAGAGAGGTTGCCTTGTGCACTGAGTCTTTTATGGAGCCAGAATTGTCACTCTGCGGAATCCTGACTCCTGGTCTCTTTTCTGTGGTAATGACACCCTGCAGATCGAGGCACACTTGGTCTGACTCTTTTGTACTGTCTGCTAGACTCGCTTGGCTTGATGCTGAAACTTCCAAAAGATTGAAGGAACTAGAAGAATTAAAAGCCAAAGAAATGGACAAAATGCAAAAACAGAGGTAAGTATCTGTTTCTGAGGTAGAGAAAGATAGAGCAGGCCTATTCTATATCATCTAGCTGTTTTAACAACTTCGAGATTGTTTAGAGATGTAGTCACACTTCTGATGTTTATTGGCTGTCTGCCTGCTTAAAAGATCTGAGGTCACCCAAGAAGCTGACAGTGGAGCCGAGATCGGAGTCCTGGCTGCTTTGAGGAGTTGGGATGACAATTTTGTATTATTCTCCAGGCTTGATTGGCTTGATGCTGAAGCTTCCAGAAGAACAAAGGAATTGAATGAACTCAAAACTGAAGAAAGGGATAGACTTCAAAAATTGAGCTATGTGTTTGCTTCTGAGGAAGAGTAACGAATGCTTGCCTATTCTAATCGGTCTAGATAGTTTTACCAGCCAACCTGGACCATATTTAAGCCTAACCTCACTAAATGAATGGATTAGTGAATGAATGAATAAATGAATGAATGAATACCTGCATGCCTACCTGTATTCTATACGTTATTTTTCTAAGACATATTTCTTTCGTGTGGAGTTTGAACAATAACTGAAAAACATGTACAATTTTGGGGAAGTTCTGTCTTGAAAGATCAGAGTCTTATATGTGTGTGTTTGTGCTGCCCTCCAAGGTGCTTTTCTCATGGCCGGGTAGAGTGTTGATGTGCGTGTTCTGCTCGTGTGAGTGAATGTATAGATACTCCTGCTTCACGTGTCAGCTGGAATGCAGCCTAAGGTTTTATAATGAGGTTGCTTTCTCTGTTCGCCCTCGGGAGTGTTGTGACTGCCTCACTGTAGGTGTGAAGAAGTTTGTGAGAAGGTGTGCTTGGTGTTGCTGTTGCTACAGTTTAGCTCATTTTTCTGGCTCTGATAGTCATTCACCCCGAAGTCAAATGAACAGAATTCTCATTGACACAGCTATGCATTCTGTCACCAATCATGATAGAAAGTTCATTTCCTAGAGGACCGAGGGGTTTTTTGTCTATAATTAAGATTTCAGGTTATACAATCACAGAATATTAGGATTTGAAGGAACTTTCTCCCCAGCTGATGCTTTCAGCCCCTCTGGACTATCTCCACCAGGTAACCTGTCCAACATATTCATACCAGCGTCTGTGATGGGGTGGTCACTGCCATCTGAGGCGCTCCATTCCTCAGTTGTTTCTAGCTTTAGAAGGTGCGACCTTAGATTGTGCTGGAAGTGGATTCTGTGTGACTCCTACCCACTTGTCCTTTGGGCCAAATAGCAAAAGTTTAATCCTCTGTACCCCGTTTATCTCTTTGAATATTTTTTTTATTAAAAAAAAAATACGCATAGAAGAACATACTAAATGCACATGTATAGTCCAAAGTATTTTGAAACAAACAGCCATGCACCTCCCCAAACCAGGGAGGAGATCATCCCGTCTACTCTGAAAACGCCTTGTGTGCCCCTCCTCAGTTGCATCCCCTTCTTTTCCCCCAGAGCTAAGTCATTACTGGCCTGAGTCCTGTGTTAATCTTGTCATTACCTTTATTCATGAATCTATCACCTGTGTATTTATCCCTCACAATGTATTAATTTTGAAAACTGAGAAGCAGGCACAAACCTGACTAAACAAGGAAAGGGCAGCGCTGCTGGTATTGGATGAAGATTCCCAGGGGACAGTAGGCTGAATGGAGTCTGCCTCATAATCTGACCCGCACTTCCCGTTGTTAGGCACGAAGTGACTTCCCAGGAAGTCAGTGGGCAGGGTCACGAGTGGTCCTTGCAAACGTAAGGCTTACCACATTTGAGGCATCTGGAAGTGAACCAGGTACAGCAGACTTTGGAAGAAACCTGCTCAGTGGGACAGTGGGCTGCCCCGTGAAATAGAGCCTGTTCCACTTTATTGCTGAGTAGCAGTCCAGTGAATGAGTATCCCACAGCCTATTTATCCATTCTCTTTGGATTAACATTTGGGTTGTTCCCATTTTTAGTTAGTATGCAAGTTCCTTTCTAGTTGTTCCACACCCTAGCTAACATTTGGTATTGTCTGTGTTTTTAATTTTAGCCATTCTGGTGAGAGTGTGGCGGTATCTCATTGTAGTTAGAATTTGCGTTTCCTTGAAGTCTAATGATGATGAGCACCTTTTCTAGTGCTTATTGTGAAGTGTCTGTCTTTTGACCATTTTTTTATTGTTTTTCTTTTTTAAATTACTTTTAAGAGGTTTTTTTTTATATTTTCTGGATTTGAGCCCTTGTCAGATGTATGAGCAGCAAATATTTCCTTCCAGTACTGTGGCTTGTCTGTTTATCTTCTTAATGGTGTCTTTTGATGACTAGAAGTTTTAAATTTTGATTAAGACTAGTTTATCAATTTTTTATTTTACAGTTTTTTTTTGTAAACTCTCTGAAAAAACTTTGCCAATGTCTCAAAGATATTCTTCCATGTCTTCTTCTAAATACTTTATGGTCTTAGCTTTTATTTTTATGTCTGTGATCCATTTTGAATTAGTTTCTCTATGTAAGATGAGATACTGCTCAAGGTTCGTTGTTTTCCTTTTGGATATCTGGCTATTCTAGCACCATCTGGTGAAAGGATTATTGAGCTTGAGCTTTACTCTAGGGTCATCTCGGTCCTGTTTGCTAAGGACCCTCAGAGTGGTCTTCAGGTCTTTCCTTTGGGTAGGTCACAGTGTCCCGAGAAGCGTCTTCTGGTCTCCCTCCTGCAAGTTAAGCCTCTGGGTGCCAGTGTCCTAGGAGCTGCGTCGGGGGAGGCTGTGAGTCTTACCGCTTGGCCTTCAGCATGCGTACGCAGTCCCCTCTTTTCAGTAGGGTGAGACCTACAGCCTTAACTGTGACTGGCATCCCCTAATCAAGAGACCCCTCCAGGGAACGAGTGACCGGACTTCTCTCCGAGTCCGAGAGAGGCAGTTGTCCAATTGTGCGAAGTAGGGAAGGGATCCAGGGATCTAACTTCTCGAACATCATTTGACTCCTGTCTTCCATATTCACACCACCCCCTCAGCTCACGCCCAGGCCTAACCGTACCTGGTACTACCAGTCCTGGGCCTGTTGAAGTCAGCGGTGCACATTGCTGGGTTCTCGGTTCTTCCCGTTGCTGGCCTGGAATTCAGTTTTCTCAATCAGCTAAGTTAGTTATCACTTTCATCCTTCTGTTATCCAGCACCATTTTTTCCCCTTGTTTTTGTGAGTTTATGCTTAACTCTATTTACTTTGGGGTTTGGGAAGGGAACAAAATTAGTTTCATTTGTTCATTCTTCCATCCTCTTTAGTTGTTTAAAGGCTGCCATTATTCTTTTCAAATGTGCTCAGAGCCTAACATACTTCTTCAGGTATTATCTAAACCCATATCCTCAAAGTGGGGTCCAGACCAGCGGTATTGCATCACCCGGGAGCCTGTTGGAAAAGCAGAATCTCAGGCTTCACTCAGATTAAGCGAATCAGAATCTGCATTTTAACAAGATCCCCAGGGGACTTGTATGGCTATTAAAAATAGAGAAACATTGCGATTTTTATAATCATTTGATTCCTCTTCACCTGGAGTGGTAAATAAATATGCACAGTAGGATATTTTCTTGCTTTTGATTTTAATTTTCAATTTTATTTCTAAATAGTGATTCTGCCACCCAGTTAGCAGACAAGGTAGAGAAGGCAGTTCTGGAGCGTTTGAAGCCTCTCCTGGTCAAGGCCCAGGTAATCTACTTCATCTCATTTGCTTGCCTTTTGGAAGTTCTAGAATAAAAAGAGTTGCTCCAGAGGTCACACTGACCCTTGGCAGGGCTGAGTGTCTGTTTGGCAGCTGGAGGCTGCAGCGCTGGCCTGTACTGTGTCGCATAGTCTGGGCACAGTGCTGTAGGTGCCACTTTGGGCCTTGCAGGCCACCGCACACTCCTGATGTGTCTTCCGTTGTGGGTAAGGGGTGAAGACGGGAAGAGAGCGAAAGTCCCACTTTTGAGAAAGGTGAGATTTTAGTTTGGGGAATGAGTTCAGATTGCAGTTTCCTTTCTTAATCAAATAGTTGTGTTGGTGATGTTAGTGTTCAGTTAACTGCTTCTATGCTAGTCCTGTGCTCTTTTACCTGCGTGGTTTGCAATGATTGGCTTTATTTTTCCAAAGGAGAGTAATGTTAGGACAGCTTCTGTGCACAAACCAGTCCTTTCTTGAAGAGGAAGTTGCATTCAGCATCACCAACAGGTTGTGCCATCCTCCTGTAAGCAGGAAGCTGAATGCTGCGGTCAGACCCTGTAGATCCACCTTGAAATAGAAACAGTCTTGTTCTATGAATAGATAAGGCCACAGGAGGATATTAGAATCTTAAGTGGAACAAGTGATGTTCTGGGTCCCTGAATGGACCACTGAATTTCTGTATCTTCAGTTTAAGAAATCTTAAATTATCATTAGAGTCCACGGAAATCTCCGGAATGTAGAACTGAAGAGGGCTCTTAGAGACCAAATTGTGCAACCTCATTTACCAATGAGAAAACTGTGGAACAGAGAAGTTGGATAATTTCCTAAAAACACACAGCTACCCTGACAATGTTTACAAAGTGAGGAAGGAAAGGGGGCCGAAAGCCAAGATAAACTCATGGCATTTATTTTCATGAGGACAAAGTGCTTTGAATTGCTGCAAAAAGCCTAATGTAGCTGAAGCTGATGGCGGTTCGACACAGAAGCTATTCTGGTAACAGAATTCATTTGTACTAATGTGGGTTGTAAATTTTTATAATTCATGGATGTCCTGTCTCTTTTAATAGAGAGTCAATTCTTCTCTGGAAGCAGATACTCACTTGAAGGATCAGCCATCAGTAGACGCAGCGACGGCCCAGCCTGCAGAGGAGGTGTGTGTGGTGTGGTGTCGGCATTCTGGGCTGACACTGGTACTATTGTGGGGTAATGTCTTCGGTTGTAAGGAGAATGACAGGCAGATTACTTTGCAAACACTAGATCATCCTATTCGAGAAGGTGGACGTTATTTTTCACATTTGGTGTGTTAATTCTTGCAGAGTATATTTAGCATTGTGATTTAGATCAGCCTCGCACACAGCTCACAGAAATCTCTAGAGCCACAGGTTTTTGTCAGTAGCTCTTCTCCTCTCCTCCTGATGACAGAATGTGGGTGCACTGCGTGACCCTGAATATTGATGGCTTGCAGCAGAAGAATAGCCACCCTCATTTCCTTTCATTCAACCGAGTTTTGCTCATTATTGGCTTAATTTCCTTTATACTTAGGGCCTAATATTTATTGTTAGGCAAACATGTTTTGGCGGCCTAGTAATGACCAGTGTCTAGCCTAGCAGAGAGAAAAGGTGGCCCAGGAGAAAATAATAACATCTGAGAAAAATGAAAACATATTTGGTAGTTGTCACCACTGTGTCCTTCCTCTGGAGGGCCTGTGTTTAATATTTGTGGGACTGTCCCCACCCTGCCTGGACCTGGGTCTGTGGAGTGGAAGGAAGTTAGTGCTTTACGTGCCCAGAACAATAAAGGGCGGAGCAAGCGTGAAGGTTTCAGAGGTAGAAGGGAGTGAAATAAAGCTCCACGAGCCCTAGAGCCTTTGGAACAGGAGAAAAGGAAATTTCGAGAATGTATCCCTATTCTAATTATTAAGTGATATTTTAGCTGCAGCATATTTTCATAATCTTCGTGGTTACAATTTTATTGTATGAGTATTTTGTGACAGAATTGTGAGGAGGCTTCTAAGACTAGAAGCTGAAAGCCTACATTTAGCTCTTACAGATCAAGTGTGCTATGGTTCAGTGTTTTGTGCAGCATAGCCACCAAATGACACTTTTTTCCTGGCAAAATAATGAGACTAATATCTAACCAAGGGAGGCAACTCCATATGGCATTTTAATATGAAAGAAAAATGAAGTGATTATAAATGCTGTCACTTAAGTAGACATGTTTGAATATTACTAGGAATGATCAGCCAGCCTCGTGTATAAGAATTATTCTGTAGGCATTAAATGGTCTTTAATACAATTTATTGAAAAGAAAAGTAGCTCTAACCACTATTTAGTATTCTGGTATTCTGGGCTGCTGTTAAATGTCAGCATCATTGCAAAGAGTTTCCCAGGCAGCACGGTCAAGAGTGAATGTTTATAAATAACTGAATAAAAACAAACAAACAAAAACACTCATTGAAGTTGGCATGATGAAGTAAAAAGAATTATTTTTCTGTGATAACTTATAAAAAAGCTATGGGACCTTGAACACAGATTCTCAGAATTCTCATCTCTGAAATGGAGAAGGCGCATTGCACTTTACAAGTAAAATACAGCTCTCAGTAGATTTGCGTACAGACGAGTGATCTCTGATACCAGGGAGAAGCTCTTGGAAGGGTATAACATAGTTGTCTGTTGGGGCTGCTGTTGTCATTAACTGAACTTGCACATGAAATATATTTTTCTCAAATGTATTATTTTTAAATTTAAAAGTTATGCACATGGCTAAAAATTCGAAGAGTTTAGAAAAAGTATAATATAAAAAGTTAAACCTTCCCATAAATGGATACCATATGCTGTTCTGTACCCAGCTTCTTCCTTTATATTTTAGTGATCTTTACATATCAACACATGGGGACCTGCCTTATCTTTTTTAATGGCACATAGTATTCTTGATGTTCCATTCTTTATAGATGAAAAATATTACACATACAGGTACACACACACACACCTTCATTAACTGAACTTGTGGTGTTATTGGTTTAGTTGTTGCTAGGTTTTTTGTAATTTTATTGATTATTCAACTAATTTTTATTTCTTTAACTTTGATTAAGGTTGAGTGTTTCTTTGTATCTTTATTGGCCATTAATATATTTTCTTTTGTGAACTGTTAAAAGGTTTTCAAAATTGCTGTGGCAGTAACTATTCATTGAGTGTCTTATTTCATGCCAGCCACTCTGCTCAGTGTCCCAACATGCAGGCACTCGTGTAAGCCTTACAACTTTGAAGAATGAGATAATTATTTCTGTGTTAGATGAGAGGGCTGAGCCCAGAGAGGTGGAGTGAACTTGCCCACGGTTGCAGGCATACCAGTGGGCAGAACCAGGGTTTAGGCCCAGAAATGTCTCATTCCAGAGCCTGATATGATCCTTTCCCTAGCAGACATTCTTTGCAAAAGCCTCTATTACAGCAGATTATAGACATATATTAGAATCAAAAGAAATATGATGCATGTAAAGATGCTTTGCAAACTGAAAAGTGCTTTGTGAATGTAAAGAATAGAAGGTCAAAAAGCCTGGTAAAACTCTCCTGGGTTATTGCTAGAAAGTTTCAAGCAAAGACAGAGTTGTGAGCTTTGTGCTCCCATGAACAGATGTTTTACAGAAGCGTTGAACCAAAAGAGAACAGATACATCCTCCGGAGTAGGTGACATTGAAGGTAGTGGCCTGGGAGATACTTGCTTTAGTAACTGGCAAAACAGATAATAATGATAATTTACAGGGACAGTAATGGTATTGCTTGGTTAATGCTACCGTTTAAATGACTGTGATGGAAATTGTACTGATGTTACTGCTTTTGATATTTACGGGCTTAGGAGAGGTTTGATTTTGCGTAGAAACTGTGCTGGTTGGATCACTGTGTGGTTGGTTTATTATGATCAGCATTAATCTTTGAGTTCTTCTGTTTCCTTTGGATTGCTTTTCCATCCCCCTCCCTTGTTTTGTAGGCTGCAGCTGTTGATTCTGAACCCAGTAGCAATCATCTGCTGGGTCATTTTTTGGAAGATAGCGCTCATGAGCTCTGGGCTATGACTCACTCTAAGATCTTGGAGTCTGAAGCCTCAGACACCTTGGGGGACAGCAAGGACGGCCCATGTCTGGAGACCATGATGCTCCGAATGGAGGAAATGGAAGTAAGCTCTGGGGCTGCTTTTCTGTTTGGTCACTGGGTGCTGGCCTCTGCTGAGCGCTGCTCCTCCTCATGCTTCTGTAGCCTGGTGCTTCAGTCACATAGTCCTGGTTCTAAATGCCAGCTTGACTGCCAACCACGTCTGTGTCCTCGGTAAAGTCACTTACCCTCTCTAATAACTCGGATGTTTTTAAGGGTAAAATGAGGTATGAAGTATCATTACATTACCTGATGCATAGCTCAGGAAGGTGACCGTCATTATTATCCCCCGATAGCACTGATAGGAGATTCGACAAACCCTGGGACCAGAGCCCGGGTCCACAAATGGGACCCTTGACCGCTTCATCCCTCAGCCTGTAAATGCTATTCACTTACCTCTGCTACCCTGTAGCGTGTGATCCTGACATATCACAGATAATTTTACCCTCTTTAATTCCCATGATGCTACTTTAGAATGCTTTTCTCAACGCATTGTAGGTCTCAGACATTACCCAGTCCAACCCCTGGATTGTTCAGAGCAGGAAATTGAGACACAGTCAGGGAGGAAGGGATGTAGCCAAGGTCCCCAAAAAGTTCCCTCCAGAGCTGGGGTGCGAATCCTGTCTCCCGGCTCCTGAGTCAGCATTTTCTTTTTAACTGCACCATGGTTAAATCTCATTTTGGTGATGTACTCAGCAAATTAAGTAGAAAGTAGAAACATTAGAGGGAAGACAATTTTTTGTGGCTTTTTGAAAATTTAAAGATGCAGTTTATGCTAGTCTTGTAACTGATTTTCTCTTCTCGGGGGAAACTGTCTAGACCTGAAGTGTCCAAAATGGTAGCTCTAGCCGCACGTAGGTATTTAAACGTCGGCTAATTAAGATTAAACACGCTACTCACAGTTCAAGTGGCCACTATACTGGACATGGCAAATAGAGAACATTTCCATCATCACAGCAAGTTCCAGTGGGCAGTGCTGGTCTAGATGAGATTTATTGGGTTAATTGCTTCATTTTATTTTAGACCTCACCTCATGAACCAACCGCTTCCTGGCCTGGCAGACACCCGTTTCTGGCAGTGTGTCTGTGTCAAGTGTGTCTGCCGAACTGTTACATCCTTACTAGTTCTGGTTTGTGACGAAACCAATTTTCTCATAAATTCAACTTTTTTTTTTTAAAGAAATACCAGGAGACAGTTCGCCAAAGATATAATAAAATTGTGTATTCTGATCCTCATCTTTGGATGCAGAAAGAAAAAAATGGTGAGTGTTCCCACACTTTTTTCCCCAACATTCTGAAAATTTTCAGACGTACGGAAAAGTTGAAAAAAATCATACAGTGGACCCCCATATACCCACCTTCTAGATTCTATAATTAACATGTTGCTCTATTTGCATTATTAAATATCTGTTTATCCTGTATTCATCCATTAATTTTTCTTATTTTGGATGCATTTCAGAGTAACTTGCATCTGTCAGTACATGTCATCCTAAATATTTTAACATGTGTATCATCAACTAGAGTTTAACATTTATTTATGGATGTTTTTCATTTTGAGATAAAATTTACATATAATAAAATGCACAAGTCTTAACTGTGTCGTTTGATGGGTTTTGACAAATGGATACACCTTTGTTCTCCACACCCCTAGCAAGATGTAGACTGTGTCAGCACCTCAGAAAGTTCCCTCGTGCTCCTTCCAGTCAGATCCCCACTGCCCAGGCTGCCACTGTGCTTTTTTCCTGTAGATTCATTCTGCTTGTTCTAGAATTTCATGTAAACACGATGATACCTGCGTGTACTCTTTTGTCTAAGGCTTCTTTCGTTCGGCATGAGGTTTTATAGATTTATCTGTGTTATTTCCTGTTGCCACTGTAACAAATTTAAGTGTGTAACAAGTTAAAGCACACATTAAGTGGTTTAAAACACAGATTTATTTTCTTACAGTGCTGGAGGTCGGAAATCTGACGTGAGCCTTAAAGGACTAAACTCGAGGTGTTGGCAGGGCTGCTTCCTTCTGGAGAGTCCATGGGAGGAGTGGTTCCGTTCCTCCAGCTTCTGAGGCCGCCAGCCCCTCTGGCTTGTGGCCGTTAGCAGACCCTGCTTTCCTTACTGCGGCGCCTTCCTTTCTGCAGGCAGTTCCTCCTCTGCCTGCCTGCGAGCGGCACACTGATTACGTTCAGGGCCTGCTCTGGTCACCCGGTTCCCTCTCCCATCCAGAGACCCTTAACTGGGCAAGTCCCTCTTGCCAGAGATGGGAACATCTTGGGGGGCCATCATTCAGCCTGCAACGCTTGTATCAGAACTGCATCCCTTTTTATTGCTGAGTAGTATTCCAGGGTATGCATGTACCACATGGAGTTTGTCTGCTTGCTTGTGGATCTGCATTTGATTGTTCCTAGTTTGGGGCTGTTAGAAATAAATCGGCTATGAATATATTCGTGTCTTTGTGTGAACATAAGTTTTTATTTCCCTTGGATAAATACCTGAATAGACTTGCCAGGTCATGGGATAGGTGTATGTTTAACTTTATAAAAAACTGCCAAACTTTTCCCCAAAGTGGCTGTACCACTTTACATTCCCGTCTCCATTGAGCTCCTTGCTTGATATCCTTGCCAACATTTGATGTTGTCAGTCTTTTTAATTGTAACCATTCTGGTGGGTGCATAGTGATAGCTCATTGTGGTTTTAATTTCTTTTGATAAATAATACTGTTTAGAACATTTTCAAGTGATTATTAACCATTTGTATATCTTCTTTTGTGAAATGTCCAGATCTTTTGTACATTTTTTTTAAAGTGGGTTTTTTTATTTTTGAGTTGTAGAAATTCTTTCTGCATTCTGGGTACAAGTTCTTTGTCAAATATATATTGGTTTCTTTTTTTTTTCTTGCTGAGGAAGATTTGCCCTGTGCTAACATCTGTTGCCAGTCTTTCTCTGTTTTGTATGTGAGCCACTGTCCCAGCATGGGCACTGGTAGACGAGTGGTGTAAGTCTGCCCTGGTGAACGAACCCAGGCTGGCGAAGCAGAGCGCACAGAACTTAACCGCTAGGCAACCGGGCTGGCCCTGGTTTTTTTTAAAACAACAGCTTTACTGAGAGAGAGTTCATGCACATACCATAAAATTCACCCTTTTAAAGTGTACAGTCACTAGTTTTCAGTATAGTGGCAGAGTTGTGCAGGCGTCACTGCTGCCTGATTCCAGCCCGTTTTCACCCTGAGAAGAGCCCTGCGGCCCTTGGCAGCCGCTCTCGCCCGCCCTCCTCTCACCCCAGCGGCCGCTAATCTCTTCAGAGAAGTGTTTGCGAATGCTGTCCCCATCTGACGCTCACCTGTGTATCTTCCCAAGTGTGTTTTGTTATGAGCAGACATTTTTAATTTTGATAAAGTCTAACATGAATTTTTTCTTACACGGTTTTTATTTTCTTTGATCTAAGAAACCTGTGCCTACTCCCAAGCTGAGGAGAGTCTCTTGTTCTCTTCTAGAAGCTGTTCGGTTTTAGCTTTTTTGTGTAAGTCTGTGATCCATCTTGAGTAAGAGTTTGCCTATGGTTTGAGGTAGAGGTTGAGGTTCGTTTTTCTCCCCATAATAGTTATCCATTTGTTGAAAAGACTCTCGCTTTTCTCCTCCACTCTTAAAAATTCACACATACTCATTTTGGCTGCAGTTGCTAGGCTGCTATCACAATCTTGGCTGGGATGCGTCACCCAAATTCTGTTTGACTCATGCTTATCACTTACTGCCTTACTCAGTGAAAGGAGGAGAGTAAAACGTGGTTAAACATTACCTCTGAAGGAATCTAAGTGCCATGAGTTTTCAGGGATGTAAAGGAAATTGTGGGTACAGAAGGTTTACAGTAGCAGCCTACATCACAGATAATTTTTCAAAAATATGAGTTGGGGGTGTTCTCTTAGAAAGAGTATTCTCCCTGTCAAATTTTGACAGTAGGATGGGCCATCGAAACACAATGCTAATCTGTTCCTTTTGTGTTTTATGTAGTTTTCAAGCGCTCTGTCCTTTGCTCACATTCTGTCTTCCCTCCAGCTCTGCTCCAGCTTCCATTTCCATGCTCACATGACAATCCAAGCATTCTTCACGACCCTGCTCGCGTGACCCTACTCGCGCAGTGCTTTCCCCGGTATTCCTATACTGGAGTTTCCTCCCTCCCTGCCTGTGAACTCTCATGGACTTCTGGCATGTCCTGCCATGTGGTAGAGCAGTTTGTGTGTGGGGGGTCTTACCTCAGCCAACAAAGCCACAGACTCTTTGAGGCCAGAGACTTTGTCATATTCAGTTGTGTCCCCTGCTGCTCCTAGCACAAGTCTGGCCCAGGGAGCACCCTTCTAATCATTGCCTAGTGAATCCGTGGGCATTTTAGCGTCTTTTTATATGGAAGCAGAAGAAAGGGAAATTTTGAAGGGCAATTCATTCCATTGATGGTTTGACCATGGGCCACAAAGTTGGGTGGCATCATGCAGAAGACAGCCTTACAGAGGACTCTGCGTTCTCTTTTTTCAAGGACAGTTTAAATTATCAGTCACTATCTATGACTGCATAGAGTCTAGGCGTACATTGAAATGGAGCTCTTTAGAACGCTAACAACTGAAATAAATTTTTGGACACTTTAATTCCAGAATCATGAAATTATAGTAAGAACCTTGTGTCTCTAGTTGTTCTGATTGTGTGTTCAATTGCATCATAAAATCAAATTTAAAGTGATTTTTGAATTGTGCGGTGTCTGATCTGTGTCTCTATATCCCCTCTTTCTGAACGATTGAAAACTGATTGTACTCTTAGTAATATTTTTGCAGACTGACTTATGCAATATTTCTGTCTGGCAGTAGGAAATCCTAAGCATATAAACGTGAGTCAGAGAAAGTTGTTTGACTTGTGGATACTCCTTACCTAAGAGAAGGACAGATTTTCTTCCTACCCTTGAAATACACTTAGAATTATAAATAATCTTAAACTCAAAGGAGCTGTCAAGGTTGCAAGGCATGGTTAATAAGTTAATGTTTTGACTGTCATCATGTAGATTTTTCCAGCAATGCCAAATTAAATCAGCTAATTATATGTTCAGGTGTGTGTGATTTTTCCTTCTCCAGTAATCAAGCCATTTAAAGGTTAAAAAACAAACCCGCTGCCTAAGACTCGTTGAATGGGTGGCTGGGTCCTAACAGAACCTGCATAGCCTGGGGTTTTGCACAGACCTCTCTCCTAGGGTCTTCTCAGAGCTAGCAGAGGCTTCACAAGCAGTTTGTTATTTCTTAAAACTGATTCCTCTTGATTGTTTCTTTGTAATTTTTAAATTCACCTTTTCACTTAAAAGAAGAACAATTTTTCCGTCGCACAGCTAGCTTAGCTAAGCCCGTTCTGCTTGAGAGATGTGCATGTGACTCCCTCATGGGTGTGGGCCGCAGGACGGCTCTGATAGGTCTGTCAACTTCTCTTTAAATGTAGTCACTTTGTTTCTTCTTTTCTAGACCAAAAAATCCCAGCAGTAACTGAAAGGCCTCTTTCTCCTCATCCGATCAGGATCACAAAGACAGCAGCTCGCAAAGACCCAGAAGTGAACATCGTGTTGGAAAGGCCCTGGAATGCCAAGTAAGTGGAAACGAGACTGTCTGATTTCATTGTCGTTGCTTGCCTTTGATGATGTTAAATTTCGAATTTCTTCAATTCCCGCAAGACAGAGAAATTCTTACTTTGAGCAGGTTCTTGCCAAACTCCAAGATGGCACAGTAAAATAGCATGTTTACAGGATGGGCGTGGAATACGCTGGATCTTACTAAAGGAACTTTCAGTGACGTTTCACTGGTCTTAACTGTGGACAGCATCACATTGGCATGTGTGGTTGTTCTGTTAACACTGCAGTCTTCGCTTTAAGAATTCTCTTGTCTATGAGACAGGAAGTCCTGCCGTGTGGAGGGTTAGTCCAGTGACAGGGGGAGCAGTGAGTGACGATAGATGCTGAGTTTTGTTCAGTGTGAGAGAGAGAAATGAAGGTAAACCTTTGGTCATCAGACCGTCAGGGTGAGTGAACACTTTACCCTTGCATATAGAGGATGTTGAATGCTTTCATTTTTGTTTGCTCTCAGTTCCCTGGATGAAAGTGTGGGAACAGAGGAGAAGTCAGAGAAGAGAGAGGCTCCCCTGCTCTCCCTGTCAGAAGGTGCTCAACAGAAAGAGGGTCGAGCTGCCCTCTTGGTCCCACCCAGTATGCGGCACAGCATTGGTGACTACTGCAGCCGCTTTGAGCGGTACCTCCGGATGATATCTCATGAGGCCGTGGGCTCCTTCAACCCATGGCTGCTTGCTGAAAGGTCAGTAAGATGCTCTGTGCCTCTGTTTAGGAACCAGGTGCCAAAAGTCAACCGACAGAAGGGCTGGAGGAAGTCCTGGCCAAGGTCTCCTGCTCTGCTTTTGGGCCCTGGAGTTCCAGCAGTTGCTTGGGCTATTGGCTGGGCTTTCTCTGCTGACTGCCTTTTGTCAGATAGAGGGGACCGCCAAACAGCACGGGTGATGTTTCGTGAGACAAATCAGCTTGCTTTTCCTGGACATCACCTTCTGCAGACCCTCAGGTTTCAGCTTCCTCTGTCCTTCCTCTATCCTGGTAAATCAGTTATGATTCTTCCACATGCCTTTTTTTTTAATATTGGTTTTTGGTTTCTTTCTTTCTTTTTTTTTGGTGAGGAAAATTAGCCTACATCTGTTGCCAATCTTCCTTTCTTTCTCCCCAAAGCCTCCCATATGTAGTTGTATATGCTAGTTGTGGGTTCTTCTAGTTCTTCTATGTGGGACGCCGCCTCAGCATGGCTTGATGAGCGGTGCTAAGTCAGCACCCAGGACCCAAGCTGGCAAACCCCAGCCACCGAAGTGGAGTGTGCGAACTTAACCACTTGGCCACAGGGTCAGCCCCCCAACATGCTTTTTATCTTCTGGAAATTTTGGATATTTCTCATCTACTTTGTCTTTCTTTTTCTCCTTGTAGGTTTTTGTGTTCGTTTATCTGTTTTTTTTTTTATTTTAATGGAGTTTTGGGTGGGTTCAGAGATAATCATTTATGTTCAAACCCTCAGGTTTAACTTGAAGTCCTGAGACGTCTCTTTAATGTATAGCACCTTCCAAAGCATATGAGACCCTTTGTTCTGATTGAGGTGCACATTTATTTTCTGGGGGAAGAGAATAAACTTGACTGGCTTCCATGTGTTAACTCACAGTCCTGTAGCATCCTCACTTATTTCCCATAACCTGTCTGGATTGGTTAGGCAGACTGGCATTTTGGGAAATTCCAAAACAAGCCAAGGAAGATAGACTGGTCCTTGATTAAATGATACGTTTTGTTCATAGTTGTTTTGTAGACGTAAGGAAAAGCTCTCTCAGCCTATAAGGAAAAATAGGTTAAAAGGTAAAAGATAGAGCTATGAGAACATACCCAGATTTTTACACATGTTCTCCTCTTCTGCTATCCTTTGACCCCCAAATGACAGTGCATCTGAATATGCTAGCTCTGTTTTTCTTCCTTATTTGAGTGTTCCCTAGATGAGAACTGTGTTGATAAGATTTTGAAGAAGTATCCAAAGACAGCTGACTTCATCTCTAGCTTCTTGGATGAGGGAGAAGTTAGCTGAGTTTTTCCTTTTCTTTGAATGTCTCCATTCCTCCTTACACTGAAGAAAAGCACTATTCCAGTGATCAAAGGGAGCAGCTGATATAAACTGGATATAAATAAGAGAGTGATTGTGAAAAGAAAGGCTTAAGGCGATAATGCTTTTGATGAAAGCAAACTCTTAAGGATTCCTGGTTTGAAAAGCAGATCAGGAGACTTCGAGCTGAAAAGGGCAAACCAAATATAGGTGTTTATCTTTCCTCCCTGTATGCCTATCCCACTGCGTGTCACTGAATGAATAAATAAGAAACATCGGTGACAGCAAACAAGGAATAGTAATAAATAACATTTTAGGGCCATAAAGCAGTTAAACAAATGGCAAACGGCCTAGCAGACCAGCGAGAGCCGAGTGCCTGATGAGGGTGAAGCCAGGAGCCACAGCCGTTTGTTCAGGAGTGAGAAGCACCAGGTGCTCGTGACGGCAAGGGTGCAGGTGAGTCAGAGACAGGAGGCTTAGCTGAAATTCTCACTCTCGAATAGAGCAGAGAGCTGAGATGCCCAGACATGAGGAAAACCACGAAGGATACATAGCCTCTCCTCACAGAAGGAACGCTGAGCAAGCAGGGACAAGGCAGGCAGCAAAACATCAAAATCGAACAAACTCGCATGAGTATTCTCAGGGAAATAAGGGCAGCTGTTGCACCAGAGAACAAGAACAGGATACTATAAAAAAGAAATTTTCAAAAGTAAAACAAAAGTTTTTAGAAATTAAAAATATGGTCAAAATAAATTCACTAGAAAGAGTCAAAGCAAAAAGTCAAATCTCTCAGGAAGTAGAATGAAAAAAGACAGGGAGATGGATAATAGAGAAGAAAAGATTTTAAAAATTAGAGGATTATTCTAGAAGATGCAGCGTCTTGGTCAGCTCAGGCCGCCCTAACAAACACCACAGGCTGATGGCTTAAACAACCGACACTTATCTCTCGTGGTCCTGGAGGCTGGCAAGGCCAAGATCAAGGCACTGGCACATCTGTGTTTGGTGAAGGCCTGCTTCCTGGTTTGCAGACAGCTGTCGTCTTGTGTCCTCATGTGGCAGAGAGAGATCATCTCTTGTGTCTCTTTTGTAAGGGCACTAATCCCGTTCATGAGGGCTCTACTCTCAGGAACTAACCACCTCCCAAAGGCCCCGCCTCCTGGTACCATCACATTGGGGACCAGATGTCAACAGACAAATTTGGGTGGAAGAGGACCTAATTTTCAGTCCATAGCATCCAACATCTGAATAATAGGAGTTCCAGAGTGTGAGAACAGGGAAAAAGAAGGAATGGGAGATTATCTGAGAAATGCTGTAAGGAAATTTTCCAGAAGGCTGTTAGTCTCTAGATTGAAACAGAGTTCATCAGTTGTCCACTGTGAGTTAGTGAGTGAATAAATAAATAGAGCAGAACACACCATGGCACATCATTATGAAAAGGAAATTTGAGCATACCATGTAAGGAGAAGATGACAAAAGGTTCCAGAGAGTTTAAACTGGATACATTCAAAATACTCAGAAATGAGTATGGTGTATTGTTTTCAATAGCAACACTGCTAAAAGATATTGGAGCATACTTCCAAAATCTAGAATTCTGCACTCACTCAAATTATCAATTAAATATAGGAGTAGAATAAAGACATTTTTAGGTATGCAAATTGTCCAAAAATTTAATTCCCTGTTTCTCAGTAAGCTACTGGAGGGTGTATGTATGCCACCAATACCAGGTATTCATCGAAAAAGAGGAAGACAGGATTTAGGAAACTTAGACTCCAACATGGAACGTCCAGAAAAATGGCAAAAGCTGTTTCCAAGAGAAGAATTTTTCAGTGAGCATAAACGGCATCTAGTCCAGGTTGGAGTAGGAGGGCGGAGGGCTCCAGGAGGAGTGGGTCCCAGAGGGGGAAGGCAGGGTGGGGAAGGTTAAAAAGAAGAAGGAGCAAACGGACTCCTTACCCAGTGTGTCTGAATGCATTGGGAGCACCTTTGTAATTCTCTGATAGTTTGGGGGTGAATTAGTGGTAGGAATATGGAAAGCAGAGCAAATATAAAACAAGGTAATCACTTCTGCTTCTAGTAGTGATGAGCCTGGTAATTGGGACCACTTCTCCCACTGAGGATAACTGTTAACAGAAAACCCAGGTTGTAAATAAAACACATATGCTTGAAGGCATCAGGAAGTTAACTAGGTAATGACGAATAGCTAGGCCAGGATCCTGGAGGTGACGGAGGCCTAGGGAGGTTAGCCCATCGTCTGTCGCTGGATTGTCAGTTCTGGAGGGAGATGAGTGGCACTTTTTGACAGTCTTTTCAGATCAGAGGACAGAGGTGGGAATCCAGGGCTTGCCGAGGTCGGGGAGTTGTCCTGGTGAACTTCCCTCACTTTTGATTGGGACCCTGCAGGGTGGCACTCTCAAAGGAGAAGTCACCTGGCTGCCAGGAGGTCCTCTCAGGGACCACACTCAGCTCCACATTATTTCAGTTCCTGAGATCAGATTAAGGTGACTCTAGGTCATTGCCCCCAGGACGCCAGGCAGAAGCAAACATAAATGTTCTCTGGAGGAATATCACATCATCTTAGGACTTAAACTATTTCTACAGTTTTCAAATACAGTGGCTGATATATGGTGAAAAATAACCAGGCAACAGAGAGCTGTGACCATAACAAGAACAGGCCCACAGCAGCTCCAAATATTAGAGCTCTCAGACACAGACATTAAAATAACCATGCCTTCTGTGGTCATGGAGATGAAAGACACAACGGAAAATGTTGGCAGAGAACTAGAAACTAAACAAAACGCAAGTGGGCATTCTAGAACTGAAAAATACAATTTCTGAAATGAGGGATTCACTGGATGGGCTTAATAGCAAGTTAGATACATCAAAAGAAAGAATTAGAGACTTGGGATATAGGAGAGAAGAAAATATCCAGAAAGACGCATGAAGACACAAAAAAGATGAAAACAAAGAAAAGGGGATGAACAACATTGGGGATAAAGTGACAAGATCTATCGTATATGTGGCTCGAGTCTCAGAGGGAGAGGAGAGAGAGGATGGGTCAGACATGACATCCACAGAGAGAATGGCTAGTAACTTCCCCCGAAGTAACAAATGACATCAAGCCAGAGATTCAAGAAGCTGTAAAAACCCCAAGCAAGAAAAACAAAAAGAAACCTATGACATAGTCATGTCATAATATTGCTAAAAAATCAAGAACAAAGGGAAAATCTTAAAATCAGCCAGAGGAAGGAAAAAAAGAGAAACAAAAATGGAAGCTGGAGGTCTTGGCCTGTGTTTTAAAGTTCTGAAAGGAAAGAACTGCCAATGTGGACTCTAAGCCCAGTGAAATGTGTTTGGAGGAGGAAGGTAAGAGGCTCCAAACAAGCAGAGCTGAGAACACTGATCACCAGTAGAACTTCCCTATAGGAAAGAGGGAACGGGTGTTTGTCAGGCAGAGCAAAAGTGGCCACAGATGAAAGGTCAAAAATATAGGAGGGCATGAATTTAAAAAAAGGTGAGTAGGTAAATGAGTATTGACTATATAAAACAATAAACTGATGTCTTATGGTGTGTGTGGGGAAGTGTGTACCTTTAAAACACAATACAATAGCGTGTAAAGAAGAGGATAAGTGGAGTTAGTGTTCTAAGTTTCTTGCATTATCTGGGAAAATGGTAAGAATATCAATTCCTGTTGGACTTTAGGTCAAGGATGCTTATTGTATCTAGGATGGTCACTAAAAGAAGAGTAGAAGAGTGTATGACATCCAAGTTAATAGAGCGGAAAGAATGTAATGAAAAATCTAAAAGAAAGAAGAAACAAATAGACAAATAGAAAATACTTGATATTTTAGTAGTAGAAACGCAAATATGTCAGAATTACATTAAATGAAAAAGGACTCTACAGGCCAATTAAAGGCAAAAGATTGTCAGATTAGCAAAAACAAAACCAAACCAGCTGGGCTGGGAGTGGAGTAGAAGGGACAGGAGAGGGAGAAAGAACCGTGTCTCCAGTCAGCGACAGTCACACTAAAGGGAGCAGGGGCGATGAGAAGTCTCCAAGTGCCGCTTGAGCTCGCCTGCTCCCCGCCCCAAGAGAAGACATGCCCCCCTGCTGTCGGGAGTCAGGCAGCCGTCAAAGGTGGGTCTGGGCTGGGGCTGGGTAGCGGCTGGTTAGTTTCCAGTTTCAGTCCTCTCAGGGTGAGGTCTGTCCTGTGTCTGTTCCAGGCCACTCCCTCTACAGGTTTTGGGATCTAATTACTGCCATCTCAGCATCTAGGAGAGCAAGGCCTCACACCTTGTTTTTCTTCTTCAAGAGTGTTTTGGCTGTTCATGGCCTTTTGAGTTTCCGTTGAAATCTCAGAATTGGCTGAAGTGCCCCGGCTGAGTGAAGAATGCTCCCCTGTTTGGCTGTGTGTGCTCTGAGCTGTGTTGTTTGTCTTCCAGCTTTTCGGAAGAGCTGGTAGATGAAGCTCTGGGGGCCGTGGCTGCTGAACTTCAGGACATGTGTGAAGACTATGCAGAAGCCGTGTTCACCTCCGAATTCTTAGAGGCTGCTGCATAGAGGCTCTCCGAGACGAGGCCCCTCCTGTCACACTGGAGAAGGGACGGCACCACTTTCATTTGAGCCCACGGGAAATCTATCCTCAGCTGTCTGTCCAGGCCCAGGAGGTGCTGCCCACGGACAGGAAGGAAATGCCAGTGATGTCATCCTCACTTTGCATTTTCTCATTGTCATAGCGATGGTTCTGGTAGTTTATGATGGAATGTGTTATATTTATCAGTGCCTAGGAAACGTGAATAGATTATGATAATATAATATTTTCTGAATGTATGATTTTCCTACTGAAATATTATGTTCATTCCACTGGCTCAGTTTGGTGATGAGAATGTTTTAAAAGGTAATAAATCAGTATATTTGACATAGGAATTCCAGTTGCTATTGAACCTGTAGGTGGCATCAGTTACCCTCTGGTCCTGTCACCTCGCTCATGTTTCTACCTTCTGCAGTTTCCTATCAGGACAGCTGTCCCTCCTGGTTACAGATTTGTGTAGGGCACAGAGTTGGGTTCTGCTGCCAAACCCTTCCTCTGTTGCAGCTTATTAAAGATAGGAACCCACCAGTTTTCAGTGCACAGCAATAAACACATTTCCCTAATGCTCGATTCCTAGGTGGTTTATCACATTTTTAGTTCCTCAGAGTCTTTTATTGCTGTGAGTTGACATATTCTGATATACAAAACTTTCTCTGAATTCTGAGGAAGTTTGAGGACACCAGGAGAGGACCAGCCTCTCTAGTGCCTGCTTGAAGGTCCAGAGCTCATTTGCATCTCTGAGGAGGTCAGAAGGTTCTGCGTTTCCTACCACAGACGAACCTTGTGTGGAGGAGGGAGTGGATCTGGATGGTGTGAGACTGGGTCTCCCCAGAGAAAGGAAGAAAGTTAAGAACCATAATAGCTTGGTCCTCAAATGACTTATAAGGCATATTTTATCAAGAGAAAAGCCTGTGTTTTCAGAAACTCTGAATTGGGAAAAAGAGAACGAGTGTGCGTAAAAATAAGGCCACTGCCTGGAAGAAGTTTCCATCAGTTTTGGCCTGAGGCTTGGTGAAGGAAGTGTGAAGAACCGAGTGGCGGGAGACGCACCCCATGGAATAATGTGAATCTTCTTATAACACGACAGTGTTGTCCTCGGGGATTTTTCTCTGAAGTATAAGTATTTCAGGTGATAATTTAAGCTGCTTGATCACACTTATTTGTGCAAAATTGGTTTTTATTTAATGTTAATGTTTTCCTGCTTAATTTTATATAACCTCGGAATTAAAGACTTGAAGGGAAATTAAAGGTCTTTAATTTGAGGAATTGCGTGTGTACACTTGAATTGATAGGAGCGTCTGTCGTTGATAGCTTAAAGTAATTTGTGTGGCAGTTTTTACTGTGCTGATTTTTAAAATAAATTCAGTATTTTAAAGTATGTACAGGTCTGTTTGAAATAATTTTCACCTCCATTTTTTTCCCACAGGCAGAGTGAAATGTGGTTTATAGACTGAAATGTGATTTACCACGGAGAGTACTTTGATTAGTGCATCATTTGCCACCTGTTCCCCCAGAAAGACAGAGATGATAGTGCAGCTGACGTTCACTGGACATATAGCGTGGGTCAGGCCTGCTCTCAGTGCTTCCCATCTGTTCATTTATTCAGTGCTTGTATCATCTGTATGAGGTGGATACCATTATGATTCCCATTTTATAGGTGTATAAAATGAGGCACAGAACGGGGAGGTAATTTGATCCAAACAGCCCGTATTCAGCAATGCCATGGTCATGGGTTCACTTATTCCTGTAAGGATAATTGTCACAATTTCTCGAGTTTACTCAAGTGCATTCTCCTGCTGCTTCTTGTTCCTGCTCTGCGCGTCCTAGGTGCTGTCCGGAGCTGTCCCTCTCCTCAGCACTTCCTGTCCCCCAAAGGGTCAAGTCTGGGCTCCTTTGCTTAGTTTCAGGGTCTTTCCAGTCTCTCCTGCTCCTCCCCACAGACGGGGCCTCCTGTCTCTGACTCACATGGGTGAGGTTGCACCTGCCTCAGTGCCCCAGGTCTGCTTTATGGCCCTGGCCCTCATGAACCTCTGTGGCCAGAGCATTTTCCAAAGATGCAAAAATAAACCGCAGGAATTAAGAACTTTCACTTGAAAGTGGAAGTTGAATCCTTAAAACATGAATTTTCCTGTTTGTAGTCTTGCAACCATCCCACACCTCTAGGATGTCTGTTCATGAACAAAGGCTGATTGTGTTCAGGTCCTTCTCTAATCTCCTTAAGTTTTCTCATGACCTCGTCTCATATTATTTTCAGAAACAGAAACACATGGGTGTAGTATTTCTGTGTCACATAGGCTGTCCCAGTTTGCAGAGATGCTGCACTTTGTAAGCGCTCCCACTGGGCTCTGTCTGGCTTTGCAGCCCCCGCCATAGGGGTCTTTACCTGTTGACGTACTTGCCTGTAGTCGGCTTAGCTCCTTAAGGGCAAGGCCTCTGCCTGGCGTGTAAGTGGTGCTCAGTAAATTCTTTGGAAGGCACGCTTTTTCTTGGGGTCGGTTTTGTACAAGGGGGTCTATCACATCTCTGTCCACAACAATCTGTGTTAACCTTTTGTGACCTGATAGAGGCAGGATGCCGCCTAGGAGGAGCTGCGGATACCCTTTCCGAGACACTGATGCACTCGGACTGTTAACGGGCCTGCCTCCTAAATGCGTGCGCCTCGCAGCCTCGTGCTTCTCCGGGCCCTCCGAGTGCCTTGGTCAGCGCACTGCAGAGTGGGCGTGTGGGCTGGCAGGGCTGCGGTGGCCCTGGACTTGAGAAGAAGGCAGAGAAAAGTGTATGGGGGGCCGCAGAAAGGACTCTGTCTCCGTGCTGTGGTCCCTTCTCCCTCTGCCTGTTGGTGCTGGGGACCGGAGGAGAGACGGTGACGAGAGTCTTTCTACCTCCCGGCCCTTCCTCAGCTAACAGGTCCCGCTTCCCTGAAGGTAGGGGAGAGTGGTCGGGGGGAGCTGGCGGGTGGAGGAATGAACTGCTGCACTCTGCGCCCGTGGGCCTGGGAGGCAGGAGGAAGGTCTGAGGGAAGCCCCCAGGGCCGACAGGAAAGGAAGGGGCTGGCCAGGTGGTGTAGTGGTTAGGTTCACGCCTCTGCTTTGGTGGCCCAGGGTTTACAGGTTTGGATCCTGGGCATGGACCTAGCATCGCTTGTCAAGCCATGCTGTGGCAGCGTCCCACATAAAGTAGAGGAAGATTGGCACAGGCGTTAGTTCAGCGACGATCTTCCCCAAGCAAAAAAAAGAGGGGAAGACTGGCAACAGATGTTGGCTCAGGGCTAATCTTCCTCACAGAGAAAAAAAAGAAAGTTTCCAGTTTTCTCTGTGGCAAGTGTAGGTTTCCTTAACTTGTGTGTCTCCAAGAAGAACTCTCTGTTTTTGCAGCTTGTGAGAGCGATGAGAATGCCCTGCAGAATGTGAACCAGGGGTGTCTGCGTCACCATGTAGCCATCGTCACCACAAAGTGCCCTTAGGAAGGGCCAGCTGGTGAGAGCTCGTGATTCTTCGGGCTCTTGAAAAGCGACAGAGAGGCAGTGACACGTCCATGTTTCTTCCTGAATATTGGCCTTCTCCCTTCAGCCGTCTGTTGGTTCAAGAGCAGAGATCTCGGATCTGTTTCTTCACTGGCGTTTTTCTCAGTCGGTTGAGCCCAATAACATGGGCTGGGTTGGAAGGACTTCACCAGACATCCTGAGTGCTTCTCATCAGTCCCCGGTGAGGGCCCCAGAAATTCCCGCACTGGGGCCGGGGCCAGCTGTTGGGCCCCAGTGAACTAGTCAGCTGATCCGTCAGGTCCCGTCCGTTCGTCAGGGTGACAGGGCCATCGTCTCAGCCTGGAGTGCGTGGCTCCGAGAGCCAGACTGTGGATTGGTCCTGCACTCAGGCCTCCCCCTCCCACCGTAGCTCCAATACTTGGTCCCTTGCCTGCCAGCCTGCCCAGGACCCTGTTCCTGTAACCCTGGGCCCTGCTCTACTCTGACCAGCCTTTGCAGGGTCTGATGTGTGGCTTCTGACCCTCAGTCTGGGGTGGGGAACCCCGAGACTACACCTGCCCTTCTGGATGGACCCCCTGTATCTGCTGTTCTTCCTAGAATCCCCGTAGCTATTTCCATGTTCCATCTTCCCAGTAACTTTCATCACTTTTTCTTGAACCAAACCTGCTGCCTCTCACCATTTTTTCTGGCTGACTTTCCGTCCCGCCAACTGGACGTTTTCCTGTGGCCTGCAGCTGAGTCTGCCTCCTCAGCGCCCCAGCGGGTATGTCCAGAGGAGAGGCTCCGCCATCTCCTGCTGCCATGGAGTAAGTACGACGCACCTTCCACCCGTCTCTGAGCCCTGGCTCTCCACGGGGTCTGCATAGAGGCTGCTCCCGTCCCATTCCTCTCTGGATCCAGGAGGAGCCATTCGTCTCTCCTTGCTTCCAATGTCTCCTCCTGACCACTGCTGTACCCTGGTGGCAAGGGGGCTCTTCCTCTCGCAAGTCCAAGCCACGTGCACATGCATCCCCTTTCTCCGGGGTGGTGTCCTTCACTCCCCTAGACACCCCTGGGTCTTAGAGTCTTCTCTCTCTCTCTACCCATTCCAGTGCCTTAAAATCCTTTGTAGAGAACCTGAAGAAGCCTTCCTGGGGGTTTCTGGAGCACCCTTCCAAGGCTGCCAGCTCCTCCTCCTCTGCAGCCTGACCACACGTCCACCTCCGGGAGCTAACCCTCGCTCAGATGCGGCGTGCTCCGCTCTGAAAGCTCTCGTCCAGCCTTGGCTCCCCGGCCTCTAGGGGCCCTTGGCTCTCACCGCAGCCCTCCCTCTGCCCTGTCCCCACCTGCTCCCCTCTGGGGATCTCTTCTTATGGCTTTCCTCCCCACCCTCCCCCACCCCAACCCTCCTCGTTGCCTCCCTGCCCAGACCTGGCCGTGCATGTGCTTCCCTTCTGCTCCTTCTGCTCCCCTTGGCTCCCTCGAATCTCCCACCCGCACATCGTTCCTCTGTCTTCACTTCGGTCTCCATGAGGGCAGCCTCAGACCTCCCCCTCGCAGGCGGCCGAGCCCTGCTTGTGCCGAGAAGCCCACTGCACCTCCCTGCCACCCCAAGTCTGTCTGTCTCCGTCCACGCCTGGCAACTCGCTTGGCAATGGGAGAATTCCAGGGAGCCTTCTGCTCTCAACACTTGACCTGGGAAGCCCCCAGTGGACACTGATTCCTCGGGAGCACACGGGAGGCTAGAGTCAGGAGTGCCGGGGAGAGGCAGCTGGCCGCCAGAACCCACCTTCCTTTCCAGCCCCTGAAGACCTCCTGGGAGAGGCCACTCTCGGGGGCCAGGCTCAGGAGGGGAGGTGGCTCTCCTTCACCCCCATTGCCCAGCACACCGTTCGTGGAGGGTTACTCAGAGGCCAGGAGAAGTTAGGCGAACACTGTGGGCTTAACACCATGCCCCATCTAGTCAGCACTTCACAGCCCACGAGATGCCATTCAGTCTGGTCACGGAACCACCCTGCTTTGTGGACCAGCAGTCACTTGGTGGTTAGGAATGTGAATCATGAGTTAAGATCCCGTGTGACCTCTGTGCCTCAGTTTCCCAACCTGTGAAGTGGGGGTAAGAGTAGCACTCACACAGGGTTATTGTGCAGATTAAGAAAATAACCATGCAAACACCTAGCATAGCAGCTGGCAGAGAGCAAGCGCTCAATGAATGTTCCTATTGGGTTTATCTACGAGAACCTTAGAGGAGGGGCCGCGTGGCCCTGGTTCTGAAGCGCTTTCCTTGCCTCCTCCTTCCTGTTATGTGCTTTCCTGCTGACAATCCTGTGTCTCTCCTCGCCTTCCCTTTCAAACCAAATGCTTGGCGGTGCTTTTCCTAGCCATGCCTTTGGCAGTCCGGAGCAATGGAAACACACTTGGCTCCCCGTTCCAGCTGGTCTCCTGGGCCACCTCAGAGAGATGTCCCTTTTGGCCATGGGACTAACTGCACTGTGGACAGTGCTCCTGCAAGCTTCTTGTGGGGCTTCCAGTGCCCCCAGAATTTTCTGAACGCCTCTACGGGCCAGGCAGATGAAGTATGAATGGCCCATTTTACAGATGAAGAAATTGAGGCCCACAGACATTAAGACACTTGCTCAGGGTTGTGCAGACACACAGTGACAGAACCCAAACTAGGTCTGCATCTTTTGACTTCAAGCCTTGTATCCTTTCCATTCTGTGACACAATTTTGTCTCTCTCTCAAGTAGATGATTCTTAGATGGTCTAGAAAATCTTAGCAGATGTCAGTTGTAAGTGCAGTCTCCATTTGTAAGTATTTGCTGTGGTCCTGCTCTGTGCCAGGCGTTGTGCTTAGTTCTGGGCACACAAAGACGACCGAGATGTGTTTCCTGCCTTCCTAACAGAGCTGCACAGA